TGAAATCAAAAATCTATCAATGCGAGAGAAAGTTGGAACTTCCCTTCCACTGGACCAAGTAAAGGAAGCTCCCTCAAGAGGGAGATCAATAAGCTGGTGGCCATCAATAAAATCAGAAAAGTGCATCATAGCCTGGGTCCACGGGCCAACTGTAGACCTCTCCGCCGGGGATCTAACCACATTAAAGTCTCCTGCCATACACCAAGGAAGAGACCACCTCCCCTTCACCCCACTCAACTCCTCCCACAAACCATCCCTCTCAACATCATCAACCGGCCCATACACCCCAGAAAAACCCCAAGTGAAGCCATCCTCCTCCATCACAAAAGCACAAGATAAAGAAAATCTCCCTCTGCAAACATCAACTTTAGTCAGCCATCTCCTATCCCACATAATAAGAACACTTCCTGAAGTCCCAACAGCATCCAACGCCTCCCATTCAACAAAGCGGTTGCCCCACAGACTTTTCACCACCCAATCAGACAAAGAATCAATCTTTGTTTCTTGAAGACACACCAAGTGCACCCCCCATTTCCTCACTGCCATCTTCACCACCCTGCGCTTGCCCGGATCATTCAGACCGCGGACATTCCAAGATAAAATTCGGAACTTCATGAGGAAATAATCATCCCCTTCACCCCCCTACCCCTCCCTCCTCCCTTAGCATTACCCCTCTCCTTCTCCCCCCCACTCACCCTATCATAATTCACATCACAGCACAGATTTCTAAGCTCCCTTTCCCCTTTTCCCGGAGTCAGGTTCTTCTTCTTCCTACTCCTCCTTCTGGAAAATTGAATCATCTCCCCTTCTCTCCCCTCTGCCGTGGCCAGAAGAATTGCTAAGGCTTGATCACGCTTTCCTTTGCATGAGACACCCAATAGATCACAAGTAGCCCCAATGTTAGCCTTAACCCAATCCAATCCAGTGTCCTCACCTTCCTGCCTACACACCTCTTGCTGCCCATCTCCTCTGGATGAACTACAGCCAAAGGGTCCACCACCCCCAAATTAGCAAAACCCTCCTCCTCCCACAAAATCATATCCAGAGAACTCCCCTGATCCATTCTGCTCCCATCAGCCATACCTCCCTTGGCCTCCACAGCTTCATCAACAGATGATAACCAGTCCTCTCTAAAATCCAACACAACACTCTGTGTGACCGGGACCGGGTTACAATCAACAGAATGGTCATCGATCGAAAATCTGTGCTTCTGCAACTCCTTCACCAAAAGAGAAGCTGATTCCTCGCTGAGGGAAATGCGGATATCTTTACCCACACAAACAGTCACCACATCAGGCACAGGATCCTTCAGACAATCCACTGGATCACCCTTAAAAGAAGAACACACCCCTTCCGATCCACCCAAACGAAGCTTAGCCGCCCTACCCATCTCCTCCCCTGAAGAATCAAACCTAGAGGCTGAGGAAAATTCCGAACAAGTCTCAGCGATCCCTACAGAGTGTTTATCCACCTCCCTGTCACCAGACAAGCAAACCGTCCCATCCCTTTCTGACAGCCCAACAGTCCCAAACTCCGAGCCAACCGTAGAGATCAACCCTTCCACCAAGTCAGCCTCAACAACAGGTGAAAGCAAATGATGCCTCCCATCAACAATCTTACCCCCTTTATTATTCAACTCGCAAGAGGGAGTAGAAGCAAAAATAGAAGAAGATGCAGATTTCCGAGCATGAAAGGAAGTCGACATACCTGGGCACGAATGAGACACCTTACGGGCCACCCATTTCTGTTGGTCCTTCCTAGTCCATTTCTTACTGGGAATTATCGGCAAACTCCGAGATGTAACATCCTTCTTAATAGAGACACATTCGCCTTTCTCGTCATCTCCCAAAAATCCAGATTGAAGAATTTCAAATCTGTTACCCAAGAGTCGATTCTGACAGCACGACCCATGCCAGAAGTTCTTTGAGCTAGCCCCAGCCCCTTTTGACACCTTCGAACTCACCTTCACCCAATTCGCCTTCTCGTTCCTCGACCAAACACGTGAGGTCGAAACTCTCTGTGACGTAACCAAGTCAGGTTCTGGAATGCCATGGCTTTGACCTGCTTCTAAGGATGTGATGGGCTGCCCACTGTGGAAGGGAATTGAGAGATGGTTGTTTGGGCCCCATTTAACCAACCTTCCTTTATCCACTCTTGCCTTCACCTGAACCGGTCCAAAGGAAAAGAGAGGCCCAGATTGCTTAGATCGTCCATCCCGTTTAACGGACTTGATGAACCGCCTCGGCCCAATGGATGACCTAGGCCCACCCCACGCATTAGAATCCTTCCCAGTGGCTTTTGATCCCGCTGCATGAGTCCCACGAAATCTAGGCCCAACACCATCCGGCCCAAAAGAAGTTGAATTTAAAAAATCAAGAGAAGCACATGACTCGGCACGAGGAAGGGTAGCTGTCATCCACTCAAAACGGTTATCCTTTCTCCTCCAACCACATGTCCCAGACGTAGCCTTCCCATTTCCACTTGCCTTAGGCGCGTGGCTGTTCACACGTCCCTGACCTTGGATCCGGTTACTCTGCACCTCCATCTGTTGGAAATCCGGCTTAGATCCATCCCCACCTCCATGACTGTAAACCGAACGAGAGATGCAAGCCAACGCCTCCAGTGAGCCTGAATCACCTTCTCCGGAACATGTCCCAGTCAGCAGGACCATTGTCGGATCAATCTCTTCAGATAGCGAAATTCTGAACGCCCATCTTCCATCCTCCACAACCACACTCGCCGGAATCACACCACCCCTAGCCACAGTGATCACAATTCTTTCCGTATCACTCATTTCGAAGCCCTCCACATCTCTAAACCCGCCACATGCGTCACCAATGGCGACGAAGAGCTTCTGACACCAAAGGTGCAGCGGCAGACCATACAGAATGACTCGCCGGAAATTGTGCCTCAATCTCAAACCAGAACACCCAACCCTAAAGTACCAGGGATCAATAAGGAGTTGAGCCTCACCCCAAGATTTCTTGCCCCAATCCAGCACCTTATGGGCCTCCAACATCGACGGGAACCGGAACAACAGAAGTCCGTCCGGCAAAGAATTAACCCTAACTCCTCCCGAAATCAACCAAGTCTTCGTAGCCCAATCTTCAACGTTCTCCAAAGACCCCACCTCTCTGTCAAATCTCCCAACCAGACAAGCCCTAAGAACACGTTCTCGAGAGGAAGAACTGCGAGTGTCCACTCTGAACACATGATACCTCGAGGAACGAATCCATTCCACCTCTCCTTTTAGGTCCAGACGAGGTAAACGAGCAACCTCCAAATAAGACTGCTTCCGACTCTCCAGCACTTTCATTAGCAGATCCACGCAACAGAAACCGAAAACACACAGCCAACAGAGAAAGGGGAAACAAAAAGAAAAATGACAGAGGATTTCACCGGAGTTAATGACTCCGGTGACTGGTCGGAGCAGTGGACTCCGGCCGCATCTCTGCCATGACAAACTCTACTCTGTTGACAGATTTTTCTTCTAAAAATTTGACTAGTTCTTAATACTTGTAGATGTTCCTTAAATAATTTAATTAAATAGTTATTTACAAATACTGGAGTGGGGATTTGAACTTGTGACCTTTGACCACAAGCAATACAGGCTCTACCACTGAGCTATCCCACCACATCCTCGTTTGGACTATAGTTTGGAGTAAAATTTTGACGCTTAATAACCTGAGAAGGAGAAGTTAGGATACTCTTAGTTGGCGTTGTCAGTAGATCACCTCCTCTGGCATTGCCCTTTGGCTAACAACTATTAGAGTCTTATTATTCTTGGCTTGTTGGCATTCAGTGGGTCTTCAAGATGCTTGAACGCTTGGAGAGGTGTTTCACGAGATTCCACGCCCATGCTTTTTGGAGGGTGGCACCTTTTTGCATTTGGTGGTGCATTTGGAAGGAGCGAAATAGAAGGATCCTTTGATAAAGAGCAATCCTACACTGGGGCTTTGAAATTCAGTATTATTAGCCTTTTTTTTAGTTGGGTAATAGGGAGAAACTGTAAATCTATAGAAGAGATTGTTGATTTTTTGGGTTCCTTGGGTTGATTTTTTGGGTTCCTTGGGTTTGTAGGACTCTTATCTTTTAGGTTTTGGCCTTTGTGTTGCCATCGGAATGCGTTTCCCACTTTCTAATACATCTTTACTTATCAAAAACAAGTGGTCCTACTAGAGTTATATAACCGTCCCAAGTATTTATGTCAAGACCCGCCCACACCATGTAGATATTGTTCGCTTTGCACTCTCTCTGCTCAAAGCTCACGGTTTTGCTCAAAACACTTGTATATGGTTAAAGGGTGTCCACTTAAAAAACTCTCAGCAATTTCTCCCCCCCCCCCCTCCCTCCTTTCCTTCCAATGATGTGGGAGGTCACAATTACCCCCTCTTGGGACCCAACATCGTCGCTGGCCTGACTCGAATGGGCTTGTGCATGCCCCCAAATTTCCACCTCGGAATTGGCTCTAATACTCAGGCTGACAATTTTGTTTTGTTTGTGCTGGAATTAGATAATTTCTAAATTGATCTTATCTCCATTCAAATTTCCAATTATGTCCTGTGGTAAAACCTCTCCCCGTGCACAATTGTGGATTATTAGTTAATCACAAAATACACAAAAAACAATTGGTAACTTAATTTCTCCATCAATGAGAAGTTACTCATTACACTGAATTCTTTTGGTTACGGTTTGAAGTTCTACAGTGACAAAGGTTTCAAAGATAAGAAATCAAAGTAGAAAACCACAAGAAGAAATACTCTCTTCCCTACTAGAAAAGACAGCATATTATAGGCTCCTATGTTATTCCATTGCTAATGAATTGTATTATTGCAAACACAAAAAAGTATTAGTATTGCTTAGGATTGATTATGGTCAAATATATTCTGAGCACAATATTTTGCTTATCTGGAAAGCATTCCAGCTATAATCACATCACACCTACCACTTTCAAACGCTGTAACAGAATTCATTTTCTGAAAGAAAAAAATTAATTTTACCTGGTCCAAGTTCTGAACTGGCTCGGAGGAATTAATGGCCTTTGGCAAAGCAGCCTTCACTAAAGCAGAATAGTAAACCTTCTGGTTCACCTTATTAGATCTGTCTTTGCTAGGTTCTTCAACCTCATCAATGTATGCAACACGTAGGGAAGGATACCTACAACAAGTATATACATATATATACAGTGGTTGTAAGCTATACAAATCACCAAAGCTACAACAAATTAAAATGTGACACATACGTTGTCATAAGTCTTAGAATGTCTTGTGCACGAGCGTCACCAGCTCGCTTGTGAATTCCGTATTGCTGGCATGACACCACATATGTAAATTTCATATCAGCTACAGCTTGACATTGTGCCCACAATGACCTTTCTCCCTTTACCTGATCTTCGATATTTAATTCAACAGCCTTATAGCCTTCCATTAAATCTGACCAACGGAAAAACATTTTTCATGTACAACACTTTGTACGTTGCATGTTACTATAAACTCAAGTGAAAATCCCGACAATTTTAACCATTTTAAGATTTCCAAAAGGATTGAGTACCTTCATCCTTGGCCATGTCAAGGAAGGCCTGAAGCTCCAAAGCTTTACGATAGTACATCATGCCTCTTACTGGTATTTGCAAAATATGTATTAGCCCACAGTATTTTTTTTTTTTTTAAAAAAAGAAAAAAAAAAAAAGGTAATGCGGTAATAACGAGATTTTAGCAACTCTCCACCACACACCCATACCAGTTTTAGTTAAAGTTTGCCCTCTATATGATGCCCAAAGACGTAATTGTTCTTCCAATTCATCTAATCCTTTAAGTTCTTCTTCATTGCTGCACTTCATTCGCTCAAGGAAGTTGTTCCATTCATCTGCACATTATCAGTGGCAAATTAATATACAAAGAATATACACATGAAAATTCATTGAAATCAGTTCAAGTAACAAACATTAGGAATTTGCCAGTATCAATCGAGATTAGCAACTGATGATAACAAGAAACAAACCTGGAAATATCTTCTGCAGGTAAAAAAGGATGGAAACCCCGTCTTCATTTGGCACTTCTAAATCATGTAATGAGAAGAGAACCTCCTCCGTGTAATATGGAGTCAAAACACTACATGAAACGTCGCATAGTTTAACAAATAAAACCAACTAGAGCCAGTATAATTTGATAATTCATTATGCTGAAATTTGTAATCAAATACCCCTAAGGTGTACAAGCCCAGAAAGACTTGTTCCACAAATATCATTATGTTGAGTACTTGAGTTCTCCCTAGATACTCCCATTCTTTCTTCCCCAAGTGAAGATTGTTTTTTTGCAACTAATGGTGGAGAAAGGAGGGGATAATCAACTTCCATAAGGAGGGACAGTCTTCAATCAGAGGAGTTGTTAAAGAATCTTGCTTGTTTGGTGAACTACCACAAGGAGGGAAAGGAATGATCAGAAGGAAGGTGTAAGGTTTTTCTAGGTATTTCTCCATGAAGCTCTGGCTTATTTCTTAGAATGTGTGGGGCAATTGACCAGGAAAAAAAAAAGTTTACTAAATCGCTTAAGGGAAGGGAGGATGTCTGTTGAGGTTGGAGTACGTGGGATGTGAGGTTTAGTTATTCGATATGTTAAGTGCTGTTAGTGGATTGGAGGGATTCTTCTTACATGGAACGAGAGATTGGATACCAAAATTGGCAAGAGGGATTGCTCCAGTCTGTCTCTTGCTTGTTCTCCAACATTGAAAATAGTTTTCAGTAGTGTCTTTTGGAGTTGATGGGTGAGATGTTGTGGCCTGAATTTTGTTTCCTCCTGGGTTATATTGCTACCCAAATTTTTTTTGATCTATTTTATTCTTGTGGGTTGTGGTTCTGGTTCTCGAATTCTCTTATAGCCTAGAATATAAGGGCGTTTAGGGTTTGGGGTGAATCACGAGAGAACACTGAAAACCGCAGGAAAGATAGTGAGAGCGAGATAGGATTTGGGGCTACCTAACGGTCATTTTAACGGATCGGCAATGACAAGGACCTCTTTGCGACATTTTTTAAAACAATTAGAACTTATATACACAAAATAAAGGACAAGGGTGTTACGTGCACAAAAAGTACACCATAGGGGTGTTTTTTACAATTTACCCCGTGGCTTTACTACAATAAAGTAAAGTTACATAAAATCAGGAATATTTCAGAACAAGAAAAGTTACCAAAAATCACAAAGTTGGCCATAGAAAATTATCGATTCTGTTTGGCCCTCTTAGCCACCTTTGGGTGCTCTCAACGGTTCATAAAAATCACTCACTATATGTCTCTCTCCCTTTTTTATAAGTTTATTATTATTATAATATATTTTATTAGGCCTAAGCTTCCCATGAATATATTTTATCAATTAAAACCTATATCTATACCCCTCATGAAATCAGTTCAGCAAGTCTCATACTGAGTAGTTTGCTTGAGCCCAATGTGTATATTACAAAATATTTGAAGGATCACATAATTCGAACATTTTCCCCAAGGGTCAAATAACATTGCCAAGTCAATAACAAACCAAGTCTGAAGAAGATCTATTTTTTATTGCAAATGCTATTCATTAATAATAGGTGGCTGACTGGAATCTGAAACCCCCCCCCAAAAAAAAAAAAAAAAAAAACCCAAAAGAAAAATAATAATAATAGCGATTATAATAAAATAATAATAATCAGAAGGTATAATAGAATTGTGGAATATAGTGAATGACAAGCTATGAGCAAAGTTTAATTACATGTTGCCATAATAATCAACATTGGTTAAAGGTACGAGTCCAAAAATATCAAGAATGCATAGCCAGCATTATCCCACAAAAGGCATGCTAGAAAATTCAAGACCAGAGGCAAGAAGGATATAAACACTTACGAGAAAGAGAGCATATTGCGGACTTTGGGTGCTGTTGGCATGACCATAAACAATGAATTGGAGAAGAAGGTAATGCGTCTCCTGGCTTCTAAGTTCGATGGCACATCCATCGCCGACTCCTTCACTGTAAGCAATAGGTAGAGCCGTTTGATCTGCAACAAGGAAACATAAAAATCAGATAGGCAGAAAATGAAAAAAAAAATAAAAATAAAAAACATCACTTTCGTAATAAAAAATTAGTATAGCACACCCTCTCTTTCCAAGCTTCTGTTTCTGGAACAGGAAACTTGATAGCACCAGCAGATGCAAACAACTGATATTGTTGGTCAAGGGGGGTCATCCCTTCATGCCCCGATCCACCATGGATTGAATCAACCAAACTTTTGAAACAAAAAATGACTAACCATTAGAATGCCACCCAAAAATTAGTATATAGTAGAAGATAGATACATTAAATGCTTCACCTGGAAATGTGATCCTCCAGCATAATGTCTCTTGTCACAACCTCTAGCATGTCCTGGAAAAGAATCACAACTTGATCCCTGTCATCTTGCTTATTCTGCAACTGTAGATATGAAACTACTTCAGCTACAACTCCAAAATCTCACTTAAATAACAACTATAATATAATATAACTCTTAAGCGTTAATATTTACCAAGAAGTTGATAAGCTTAACAAAGTGCTCATAGAGAGAAGGAAGAGCACTCATTTTGAATTCACTGATCAGATTTCCCTCTCCAATATGCTTGTCAACTTCAGAAAATATGTACTCTATAACCCTGGAAAATTCATTTGGAAAAAAATAACACAACGTCATAAAATGATATGCGCCATGAACCAATCCTGACTGTGAAAACATGAAGTAGTGTTTTAGTCTCTCATGATCAAAATCATTAATTGTAGCTGAACTCACTCTTTTTCACGATCCCCTTGAACCAGAAACTTTATAATATTCTGAAATGAAGCATAGCACTCACGAACAGCAGCAGACATGTAGCTGTCAGATTCAATCTTCTTTTTCAGCTCCCGGTCCTTGACACCGCTGTCCTTACTCTTAGCCATGTCCAAGGCTATTGGGATCTATGAAGTTGATAAGGAATACGTAAAAGGACAACATGTTTTCAAAATAATGTATCATTAAAGAATAACCATAGTGAACAATTTCAAAGCATTCACATAAAAACTGCTGGATTGGTTCCGTTATTGAAGCAAGTGACAAAAATAATAACAATAATAATTATAATTGCAGAATGACGTACATGGAACTCATCAAAATTTACATAAAAACTAAGCAGCAGGAAAATTGAATTAAAAATCAATGTTAAAATAGGAATTGTTAGTTCACAGCAATATAAACCCCACAGCATATAAATGGCTCAAAAGATCATTTCTTAATAAAATATTCCAAGTAGTTCTAAATCCTCTTCTGTTTCCCCGACCGAGGTTCACTCAGAAATGAACAAAGAATAGAGGTTTACATTCAGAAATATAGAAGAAAGGTGGCTCTCAAAACTTGCCATATAAAGGCCATCTCCTATATTCTTAAACCATTCCTCTGGATTAACTGAAAATATTCATCACAAAATAATTGGCCAGAGTTTTCAAGGGGGGCACCATACTGCCAAATAAACAATGATTTTTTTTCTTCTTTATTTGAATCCATGTTCATCCCATTCCTCAACCCTTTACTATTAGCATTGAATATTTATGATTCCTTTAACAGTGTGTTTTATAAGTACGAAGAAAGGAAAGGAAAGGATAGAGTTAGTTATGAGAGAAAAGAAAGGACCAGAGAGGATACTGTTAACCTTCTTCACGTTTGAATAACTAAAGGGGAACATTCAATTAAAAGGATAGCAGTAACCCTTTATCATGCTTGCAAAAGATAGCAGAGAGAGAAGAAAGGAAATGATCATTTTAGTTGGAATGACATGCAAGAAACTAGGGTTGAAAGAGAGAAGGAAAGAAAGATACATAGAATGTGAAGAATGGTTAGAGAATGATTTAGGCTCATATCCACATGCAATTATATTTATATACTATATTGAACGAGTGACACTAAAAGAATGAGGGCATGCCTACAATAAGGTAGTCCCGTTGCGGCCTGGAGGTCACTCGTTTGGAACGAGAAACAACCTCTTTGTATGCAGTATGGTTGTGTACATCATACTCACCTTAGACGCCGCAATGGTGAGCCTCATACACTGGGCAATCACTTTTTACCATTAAAAGAATGACTCACACTGAATATTCTAATCCCCTAGTATACACTCTATATTCTAACATATTCTATCCAACATATTCAAATTAAGATATAATATAATAAAGATGAACACAACCATCTATAAAAGCATAACCCAGTAAACCGGACACAAATCAAATTTTAACAAAAAAAAAAAAACCTTTGATATGCATTCAATGTGTACAACCTGAATGCACCCTATACACCTTCAAATGTTTGGGTATGTAGGCCCCCCCTTAGAAACCCAATTGATTATATCTAGCCACATCTTTCCGTATTTAGTAGTCATGTATTAAGTTTTGATTGTGGTTCTCTATGTTTCTTAACCATCTCCAAACATGAGCATTGTCACTATTGTGTATTGGAGACATTTCCCATACCTTTTCCATTTGAAACTCAATAAAGGAAACAAGATTTTAACCATGAGACAAACCTTGCTGGCAAGCAAAAATGGAGGCCATTGCATGAGTTTCAAATCACGATCAGCCCAATATGGAACAAGCAACAAGTCCATTTCCCTGTAAATTAAAGCAAGTATTTAATATAAAAAAAAATAATAATAATAATAATAAGATAAAATTAAGAATAAACTCCCTGTCGTGCAAGTGCAGATGGTAAAACAATGATTATAAGATATTTTACATATAACAAGTAAATAAATTCATGCTAAAAGGGCATATGCTTTGTATAAATATGCCAAAGGCTAGTCAGTATGCAAAATATATACATCCTTGAGTTTGCAGACATAATTGGCACTGGATAATAACCTTTTAGATGTTTCTCTTGACATTTTAGTCTAAATTGGGTGTTTTTGGATCTTTTCCTTTTTTAATCAAAAGTTATCTTTACATGTTTTGAGCTATCAGAGAAGATTTTCGAGATGGAATTCTTACTAGAGCTCTATAATTCCACCCGCCATAGTTTTAAGGAGTTGAAACCGGTGGAACGGTGTAAAACCTTTACTGCTGTAAATTGTGTGATAAGGGCAATTTGCCAAAAAAAAAAAAAATTAGGGCCTTAGGTTCTTTTACGTAATAAAAATATCAACTAGTAGAGCTGTGTCTTACCAACCAAATGAGGAGTTCAGTACAGAATAACTAAAAAACAAGCTGACATAGCCTAGAACAGTCCGGAAAATTAAGCCAATTGTAACCGAAACAGCATTGATACATCTCACTACTGGTATGGCACAATCGAGACAATCCAACCCGAGCCGAATAAAGTTCACAACAGAGATAGTGATAGAGAATTTATTTGCAGTCCCCGGTTTAGTAGCCAGTATCATCTCTAGAACAAGTCCCTTTTATTGCTTTCATTTACATGAGTGTTTTAACAGTTTGTTTAATTGTCGTGCCTTTCAATCAATCTTTATCCATAGAACCCCCGCCACTATCTTGTTTCCATTTGCATAAGGTTACAGGAGTCAACAACATCAAAAGTAAATTAATCATTTGCTTCTGCTCTTAAGCATCATAATAAGGATTACCTATCACTTATAAGATCCTCCTCACGGAAACTGCTGATTATTTTGTTCCACAATTGAGCAAATCTGGCTTCTTCTTTCTCTCTATTAGATGGATTAGATGTGTTCTGCAACAACAATTAGACATATAAACTTAAAGTTAAGAGCTTTCCATCCTTTTTCTTCAGGGTAATTATCAAGACACAGATCCACCAAGAATAGTATGAGATTCTTTAAATATAAAAGAAAAAATTAACCTCAGTAAAGTTGCGAGATAATGTGGCTTTCAGTCCTTTCTTTCTTGCTGGCTCGTTCCTTTCCTCAGGCATTAAACGCCCATTGAATGCACCAGGCAATGATTCAAATCGGGATCTTAGCATGCCTAAAGTTCGAATCTGGAGGCAATATAATAAGTTAGAGCACCAACAAAAACACAAATACAATGAAGGTTACTTTTTCAATTTGAAAAGCTAAAAAAACCAAAAAAAAAAAAAAAAAAAACACAGATTTCTTACAGAATTTCCTGCTTGAAATTTGAAAACCCAACTACAACTTTCATGCAAAAATAATACCAACAAATAGCAGAATGCTTCAGTTGAGCAAAACACACTAGAGTGACAGAGACGGGAACAATATTCAAGCACGAGCAAAAAAATATGCTCGAGACACAGGCAAACCATAGTTAAAACCTTTGTCAAACCATAGTTACAGCCTTTTGTCACTGCCGTCCATGATCTGTCAGACATTTAAGAATGCTTGTCACCATCTGTGTTCCCTCTTTGGACAACTACACAGCATCCATGTTTGCTAAATGAGATTCATATATTGCACAAGTGATTTTGGCTGTTTATTAATTCCAAATTTTATATTTCTTCTTTCCAGCAGTACAAAACATCAACAAAGATAAATATATGCCCATACCATAGCATGCAGACACACCCATAGACACTAGTTTCTGTTGCTACACTGCTAGAGGATTTAAATATTAAAGTTACACCCTCTCTAACAGCTTACGCTTTTGAAGTAGATGGTTGTTATAATGGTATGATCCTTAGTTTAAATCTCACCATCACCCTAACAGCTTAAGCTTTTGAAGTAGATGGTTGTTATAATGGTATGATCCTTAATTTAAATCTCACCGTCACCCTGATCCTTAGTTTAGAAGGCCACACGTGAGGTGGCGTGTTAGAGGATTTAAATATTATAGTAACACCCACTCTAACAGCTTACGTGAGGTGGCATGCAGTAAATGGTTGTTAACATATACAACATAGGTTACTTATAAAAAAAAGAACCCAAAAAAAAAAAAAAAAAAAAAACATATACAACATAAGTCCTTGAGCAGTGAAAATCATTCACAAACTAGAGAAGGAATTGATGGCAACCTATGTAGGAAACTGCATTATGGCCCGTCTATGTTCGACAATTTGTTTCCCTATCAGATAGGATTTTGTTAACCATTCCATTGAATTCAAATTGTTTTTTCTAGGTTTAACATGTTTACAAACCCAATACATCTAAAACCCAACAGGACCATGTGTGTCCTCATGGCAAGATCCCTACATGTTCTTTGTAATTGAAAATCCAGAGGGATCTACATCAAGATCTTCAACTCCAGCAAACAATTGCACAAGAAAACATATTGAATATACATTTGTGTAGTTTTGCGTTGGCAAAATTTTGGTGCCAAAACGTGTCTAATCGAGCTCTAATTTATGATTATCTTGAGTCTAGGTTTTGAAAGCTGAACAACAACTGATTGTCACTTCAGTCCGATAACGGAGTGTATGAGTACACATGTTTTTTAAAAATGTTTTTAAATGATTTGAAGAGTAAAAATATGTTTTGAAAACCTAGAAAATGATTTGATCCAACTAAATTCACACACATCTATATTCTTTTTACTCCATCTCATTCTATGCTTCGAGTTTCAAGATAAATTTTATATGGTAAAAAACTAGACTCAAAAATCTTTCTAATGATATATTATTTGCTTAATTTCGAGTTCGTTTGACAATTCTATAGAGGCCGAAAATCAAGTCTTCATTGCAGTCACCAAAAATATTCCGAAAACAAATACAACCGGTTGAGCTTATTCTAGAACCGGTTGAACATGGTTCCATTTTGGAATTTTGAGTGGCAGAATGCTCTGAAACCGGTTGGCCAATATTCCCAATCGGTCAGAGTGTCGTATATAAGATCACAAAATATGTCTCTGTTAGAATTTTGATTCCAACTTCAACCAACTCACTAGAGATCACAATGTTTTCAAGGTTACTCTCTACATTATAAATATCCAGGTTTGTTATGATTTTACAAGAGTGAATACCAAGAGACTATTTAGTGTGGTGTTCTACATCTAATCGACGACATCGTAAGTCTTATACCAAAGTAGCAGGATTCATTCACATCTTCACATGGTTAGAGAAAGACATGACGAGTTCAATCACTACGAGAAGTGGATCATCGTTGGCGTAGACCACTGTTGTTGGTGCTTCCAAGAAAGGTACTGGGGTTGGAGGTGCGAAAGGCGACTTGTGGAGTGCAGTTCCAAAAGCACTGAAGCTCGTACTCTTTCTTGGTTATAGTGGGTTGTTTTAACAAACACAGCTAGGTCTTCGTGATTTTTCCTTCCCAACATTTTTCAATAAAAAAAAAATCATGGTGTCATCACTTTACTTTTCTGTGTCTTTACTGCTTGTGTGTGGTTGGTTTATTGCATTTCAATTTGTTAAAATAAAGAATAATCTTAAAACCAATCAAACAAGGAAACTTAGCCTATTCATCCCCTCTAGGTCTTCCTACTGAGGTTAAACTCACAACATTGTTAAGTCAACTTCAAAATACATAATAGCGAATTCAAAATTACACAGAAGCTGGGGCTCAAGCTAAACATTGCAAAAATCTATTTCTTATAACCAAAAATTGGACCCTAAGTCATGGGCTGGAATTAGCAGCACAATGTGAAGCAAAAGCGCGCAGAGAGTAGTGGAACGTGCCTCTAGGAGTTCAAACAGTTGGTAAGCAGACAAATTCAAATCAAACTACCAGTCCACAAGATTCATTCATTGTCCATAATATCATTGTACAATGACAAAGCAAAAGTTCAAATACTTGTGGAACCAATAAATAATGCATCTTAACAGTGATTATCCACAACTACGGCGAAAGAGCCTTCCAGTTCTGTGTTGTCTACTCAAAGTAGTCGGATGCCCATTATTATTTTCCTTTGGCAGTACATAAGTACAGCTGTATTTATTTTTCTGTTTCTTCTCATTTTGGCAACATAAAGAAAAATCACAGCTGTAACAGAATGATGTGATGAAAAATAAGTTGAAGGTATATTTGGGCAAACAAGAACGGTTGTTCTTCCCAAACCTCCTCCACTTCTCCCGGAATCAAAGTTGTTCAGCCAAAAAAGAATAACTATAAGAAAAGACAGATCCAAAGAACCATAATCAGAATATCCCAGAATCTCTTGAGAGGACTGATTGGGCAAGTCGAAACAATTTAAATATGGCAATCATCACAATATTATGCATTACTCTTTTGACTATATCATCCTGTAAGAATTCAGACACTAAATTAGGAAAAAAATTCAGACACTAAATTAGGAAACAAATTCAGACACTAAATTAGGAAAAAAATTCAGACACTGCTATAATTGATTGACAAACAATGCAATACCAAGCCAAGTTAGCAAGGTGACATGAGCTGGTTCATGCCCTCACAACAATTGAGCACAAAATTTACATAATTATCGATGTATTATATTGCCATTTGCTTTTCATATTTGTGATAACCTAGATGATGAACTAAATTATAGGGTGACAGCATTTGAGTCCAGTTCCCTTTAGTCGCTCTATAACACCATATTAGATGCATCATTACCATGCCGAGCCCAAGGAAAAGTACTATGTCTCTAACATATAGGCAATAATAAAATATGAAGCAATTAAAAGCAGTGGTGCAAGACTAACAAATTACAGAGTGATTCACTAACCTCTCCAAGACGACGAAAAGCACCATAGATACCACCAAATAATGTGGAGAATATAGCATACCATATCTGGATATCCATAAAATATACCTGGAAATAGTCCGCCTGTTAGAACATACAAAATGCAAGCAAATTTGAAGAAAAAAAGATAAATTAGTATTGAAATAAGCATAAACCATACAAGAATAATCGGAGCCCAAAGTGCAACAACAACACCAATATTGCTCTTCGCTGTAAAGCAAATAACCAAATAAAAAGCAATTTATAATAATAAAATAAATAAAATAAAAAAACAAACACAAGCTGTTCATGCAATTTATTCTTGTTTAGTACCATGGGGAAAAAATTCATGCCATTTATAAGTTGATATGTGAACGCTCATGATAGCTTTTGTTGGGCCCACAAGGGGCTTTATCTGCAATGGAAGATCGGAAGTACAGAACAAGTTAACAAACAAGAATAGAATTTCACAATAATCAGCATTACCCACAAAAAATAAATAAATCAAGTGTAAAAGAAAGGAGCACAACTACTATGGGTAATGATAGGAGAAGAATGACAGTCCACATCGAGGGCAAGACAAAATCAAAAATGGGCAGAGTTGGGAAGAAAAGTTATGGCAAAGCAAAACCTTAGTCCCTAATAGAATATTTACAAACCTGTGCATCCTTTGCTCATTCAGTGTACGGAAGTGTGCCTCCTTTAGGAATTAACCTGAAACGGACCCAGTCCACCACATCATATGATATTGCCCGTTTTGGGCGCAAACCCGCACGGTTTCACTCTTAAGGTTTTACCCCAAAAGAGCCTCATACCATTTGGTGAAGTGGGCCGTTTCAAATGGTATCAGAGCCTGACCCAACCGGAAGTGTGGCCAACGAGGACGTTGGGCCTCTAAGGGGTGATTGTGGCGACCTTACGGCCGGGCGTGCAGGGGCAAGTGCGAAGCACTGGCAGGCTACAGGTGCATAATCCCACATCGGCTAGGTGTGGAAAGGGGAAGTGTTATATAAGTAGGTGGTGTCATCTCCAAATGGTATGAGACCTTTTGGGGTAAAACCCAAGAACAAAACCGTGCGGGTTCGAGCCTAAGGCGGACAAAATATACCATGTGGTGGAGTGGGCTGTTACAAAATTGTGGCGACCTTGTGGGCAGGACTGGGTGGGCGAGGTGCGAGCAAGGCACTAGCAGACTACGGGTGCACGATCCCACATTGCCTAGATGTGGAAAGGGGAAGTTCTTTATATGTAGGAATTGTACACGTCAATTGGAGGTATGACGCCTTTTGGGGAAAAACCCAAAAGCAAAACCGTGCCGGCTCGGATCTAAAGCGAACAATATCATACCGTATGATGGAGTGAGTCGTTACAAATGGTATTACCCAGCCGGAAGTGTGGCCAACGGGGGCGTTGAGCCCCTAAGGGGGGTCCTATTGGTGGTATAAGGCCTTTTGGGATAAATCCAATAGCAAAACCGTAAGCGAACAATATCATACCATGTGGTGTAGTGGATCACTACATAACAAAAAAATAAAGTATATGTCTCTCATCCTGAAAATATATACACGTATCTGTATGTATATACATCAATAGGCTATTACATCCACTGGCGTTTCTAGAAGCATGTTTTACTACTGACGCTACAAGGTATTGTTTTATTTAATATTAATTATTCCCGCTGATGTATATACAGCTCCAATTCAATAAAATTCCTCAATAAATATGGACATGGTATATTGTTACTTTTGATGCCACATAATCCAGGAGTTCTAGAATTTCAGCATTCTGCAACGTGTATAATATACCAATAAAATAATCAGCAGATCCAACAACAGATTAACGCAATGATTGCAACTACTTTACACCATGCATTACCACAATAATACTTTGTAGTTTCAAAATGAAACATGAACCTGACAACTAGCCACATTTCTCTAAACTAGTTTAACTACTGTCATAGACAGCCAGCACAACATGATATATCAATAATAAGGGCTTATATTAGCCTATTAAAACAACATGAATTTTGAGAAATGGACAAGAGAAGCACCTCAATATAGTAACTGAATGCCAACTTCGTCGTAATAAGAAGAATCCAAAACATTGTGTACCTGAAAGTTTATATATATAAAGTAATCAGACATCAAACAATGTGGTTTTATTATATTAATCAGAAATTTCACCCTTAGATTCTTACTTGAAAAGAGAAAATGTGCTCTCATGCATTCCCCTCCCAACATAGAGCCGAGGCTGTTAGATATACACAACTTATAATGACATTTCTTATTCAGGTAAAATAGATATCTACATCAAAATTTTGTCTTAACCATCCAAGACAACTAGAAAAAGGAATGGTAGGGAATTGTGCATACCTGCGACCACCACATCATGAGCATCACAACTCTATAGTTTGACCTCTCAAGGAATCTCCGAATGAAGGGAAAAAGAAACAGTATTGCGGCAACCATATTTGGTGACAAGTAGATGACAACAGCCAAAATGAACAATGAAGGAGACTTTGAACTATTGCCGAACCAACTTTTAATGGTTTGAGCAAATCCAGGAGGATTCTCCCATGTGTAAGCATAGGTAACTGGTAGAACTATCAACCATGCGGCGGCAGTCACAACTTTTAAAATGTACCTTAGCTTAACATGGAATGACATGCACTTTGCAGATTTCCAACTAAGGATCACATCAAGAACAGCTGCATTATTTGAAAATATAATAATCATATGACAACATTATTGGAGTAAATAGTTAATCAAATGACTCGTTATTTTTCTAGAAATAATAATCCTATTGTTAATGATAATACTACCGTTGCGTTCCAGGAAGACTACGACTTCCTTCCCACTTTTTCATATGTACTACATGTCACACTATGCTAATGAAAAGTGGGTACATAAGCTCATAAAGTTTCACAACATCCTATATATACAAACAAAGATAATATTCAGTGTGTTAATTCTAAGCACGCTTGAGGCATCAAATACAAGATAGGACACTCAATATAAACATATTATCAAAATCCATGATTTAAGATATAATTAGTAATCATATTTTGGTTATTCAGAAAGATACCAATTGTTTTTAAATGAACCTACATATTTATAATAACTCTTTTAGCAATTTAACAATTTTTTTTTTCAATGGTTAAAAAATAATAATAATAAAAAATAAAACTTATATGACCAAGAATTATGACCAAAGATCTATGACCAAGAATTCATTTCACAACCTTACAGAAACGATAAACCAGTAGCACGCTACAAGTTAACCCAATAATTGTCAACCATACTCGTAGGCTACATAAATCCTTATTCTCCAAATAAGTACACACCTCAAGCGGATTCTTCACCATTATTGTGCAAAACAGAACATCAAAAAAGAACATCAAAAGAAGCAATATTTCACATTACCCTTACATGCAATTTGACAACCATTGCAAAAAACCAAAGTCATAATCATCATATATCACCTTATTATAGCCTGCATATTCATGTGAAAACTAAAAGAATTGTGTTTAACCTTCAACATAGTTGCAATTTTTTTTTTTTTTTTTTTCTGATAAGTAAAGTTGTATTAGAAAGCGTTCAAGAAGGGAACGCGTCCCAAGAGCTGTACAAGAACCAAGAACAAAAAAAGAAAAGAGAAAACTAGTATACAGAATAATAATAATAATATTATTAAGAACAACAACAACAAATGAATACAAGCAAAATCTGCACAAAGAACGGAGGGATAGAATAACTGGGAAAGAAAACTCCAAGAACCTATAGCACCAACAAATGAAAATGTAAAGCTACCTTGGCCAAGCTTCAATATTGCAGCAGTTATAAAGACACTCAGTACTTTCTTGAAAACATCACCACTGAAGATTGAGCTTGGTTGGCCAGAACCATTCCAAGCAACAATTATCATTGCCTTCACAGAAATAAATAATTACAACCATAATTATGAAATCATATCTTGAAAAAAATATATATGGAGCTGAGGACAAGGGAAATAAAATAAAATAGTTACCTGCAAGCACAATATACAAAAACTCCACATTCTGTCAAAGCTTCTAAAGATATGCCAAAATGATCGTATCTCAACAAAATTAACTTTCCCCACCCATCGATCTCTACCGGCTGGCTTACCATCCTGAATATCGCAGTGATGCCACATTAATCAAGGTTCCATTAGCAAATTATTTCAAGGTTGGATTAGCCTCAGAAGCACAGATTATACAAATTAAAATCTAAGAAGCAAAGCCACAAATACAGCAAACGAACAGGCCAATACAACAAATCAAAAAAGAAAAGTTAAGCATAGTCATGACAATAAAATATATTTATCCACTGAGATTCATCCCTTCGTAGCTCCAATTCGTAATTTTTATCAAAAAATAATAATAATAATAATAATAAAATATATTTTATATTTGTATCTGACAAATTCTTTTCCAAGATAACTAAATCTAATATTCTATACTATGAAATCTACAATATATAAATTATATATATAACCAAAACTTACAGCATATGAACTCCGCCTTTGTCATCTTTACATAGCCAGTTTAAAGACCAGATAAAGGAGGAGGGCTGCGTTAGGGAGCTTCACAGCCACACTAAACTTTTTCATGACCGATATGAACTTGAATTATAAGAATACGCGAGTAAATGCTAGAGTTCCCCACAAGTGATGTGTTGCATCAGCTCCCTAATGCTTTGAGAAATGGGCGAGGTGCACCAATGTGATAAAAAGTAGGCAAGGGTTCCTGCGCTTTTTTGGACGAGCACGGGTAATGAAGTTGGCTTTTGTCATGACCGATATGAACTAGAATCCTATGCATATACGAGTAAATGCTAGAGTATTCCCATTAAGTAACATGTTGCACCAGCTTCCTAATGCTTTGAGAAACAAGCACGGTGCTCCAGTGTGATAAAAACTAGGTGAGGGTTACTGCATTTTTTTGGACGAGCACGGGTAATGAAGTGGGCTCAGGTTAGCAGGCTTAGGATAGGGACTTGGAATATAGAAACATTGATAGGTAAAGGAATGGAGTTCGTAAAAACTATGATCAGAAGAAGGATTAATACAGTATCTCTACAAAAATCTAGAGAGTAGGTGCAAAAGCTAGAGAAATTGAGAACCCAAGATATACCAGAAAGGATATATATAGAAATGGAGTAGAGATAATAATGGATAAGAATTTAAAAGAAGAGGTTGTAATTGTAATTAGAAAAGACGATATGATAATATAGTAAAAGTTGTATTCGGAGGAAGTATATTTAATATAGTTAGAATCTATCCACCCCAAGTAAGACTTGATGCACAAATTAAAACACAAGTTTGCAAACATATGGATGGATTTATAGAAGGAATATCCGGAGGACAAAAAGTATAAAAAGGAGAAGCTTATAATGGTCACGTAAGAAAAGATTGTAGAGGCTATGAGATGGTACATAATGGACATAGAATTGGAGATAAAAATGATACTAAAAAGACAAACTTAGATTTTGCAGTGACATATAATCTTATAATTAGGAATACCTAAAATAATTAATAAAAAAGATTTGAACATTTAATAACCTGTAAAAGTGGATCAAATATGAGTCAAATCAATTTCTTTTTGACTAAAAATATTGATTGATTAAGAAGTAAAGATTGTACAGTTATCCCACGAAAGACTTCAACATCACAACATAGACTACTTGTTCTAGATGTCTATATTAAAGGACAACTTAAAAGGAAAAAAAATCATAAACCCAAGAACTAGGTAGTGAAATTTTAGAGGAGAAAAAGTAGGATTATTTAAGAATGGGATGTTAAAAGAAACAACATGAATATGTAGGAAATTAGGCAAATTTAATGTGAAATAAGATGACTGCACGTAGAGTGGGAAAAGAAGTCCTAGGTGAATCCAAATAAAAAAGCCCATCATCTAAGGAAACTTGGTGGTGGAATGAACAAGTACAAAAAAACGTAAAAACAAAACAGGAATGCAATAAACATTGCAAAAATCTAAAAATAACAAAACCTTTGAAAAATACAAAAATGTCAATAAAGAAGTTAAAATTATATATACAATGATTTTAATTCTAAACTAGAAAGAAAAGATGGGTAGAATAATATATATAATCTTGCTAAACTAAGGGAGAGAAAAACCAAAGAAAGATGATGACCCAAAGAAAGACCAAAAAGTCATTTTAAGAAAGTTAAATGAAAATCATCAAGCAAGTTCAGACATAAAAGCTAAGAAGCATGGACATTTCTATGAGGCATAGTCCCCATGTCGAAGGCCATCAAGCAAGTTCAGACATAAAAGCTAAGAAGCACGGACATTTCTATGAGGCATAGTCCCCATGTCGAAGGCTCCCCTCAAGGTGGCTTTTTTTTGTTTGGACTGCAGTTTGGAGCAAGATTCTGACCTTTGATAACCCTAGAAAGAGAAGACAGGTTACAGTCAATTGGTGTTGCATGTGTAAGAGGGATGGAGAGTCAGTGCATCATCTTCTTTTGCATTGCTCTGTGGCTCATGCCTGTCGGAGTCTGATTTTTGGTCTATTTGGTATGCAGTGGGTAATGTCCCGATCAACGAAAGGTTTGGTTGACTCTTGGAGAGGGTGTGGTGTGGGTTCACAAGTGAGTCATTTTTGGAGGGTGGCACCCCCCTACGTTTGGTGGTGCATTTGGAAGGAACGGAATAGTAGATCTTTTGATGGAGAGGAATCTCCCATAGGAATGTTATAATATTGCATTACTAGTTTTCTTTTTTGTTGGGGGATGGGGAGATATTGTACATGTTTAGAGGAGTTTGTTGATCTTTTGGGCTCTTTGGGTCCTTAGTTCCCTCTTTTTTCTTTTTTCTAGGCTTTGGCCTCTGTGTATTCTTTGGATAACTTCCCCTATTGAACGCTTTCTAATACACTTTTACTTCTCAATAAAAAATTGCAGCAACTATTGTTTGCTCTTAATTTCTCCGTGTCCTAGCATTCTTTTCCTTCTTTGTTTATCTCTCTGGCTTTAGACAACAATTGTTTGACCTCCCTTGGTAAGCCGGCATCAGTTGATTTCAGAGCACAAGTTACGGCTTTCCGACTAAAAAAAAAAGAGTACTCAATCATGCCTCCACAACAACCACCGAGAAGAGGGTGTCATAGGATGCAAGGTCAAGCCAAGCCCTGCAACTCCAAAACCAAGTCGAGAATCTGCAGAGACAAGTTGAGATGTTGAACCAACAATTGGCTCAACATTTTATCAACCTGACGGTTGATGACAACTTTGTGGTGGAGGATGACCTGTCCACCATCAAAAACTTTTGCGAACATTTCATTATATGTTCTGCGTCGCCATAGATCACCCGAGGATCATACCAACTATCGTTAGAAGGTGAATATCAATATTAAGATATCTGAATTTCACGGGAGTCTTTAGGCAGAAGAGTTTATCAATCAGCTGAATACCATCATCGCATTTTTTAATACCATGAGTGATGCAGTCAGAGATTTTATCAACTTTGTGATTTTTGGAAACTTTCCATATTCTGATTGCGGTTTTCAATGTTTGTCATTCGATTGCGGTATTTTTTAATACCACGAGGATGATCGAGGTCGAGCTTTCTCTCACCTGGAGGGGCAGATGCAGAGCAAGTGGAAGAGGCCTATCTTCAAATAGTTCAAAATCCTAAGAAGAGTTTCCATTTATAGGGGCAGCTGATGATGTGATGAGACTGTGTGATGGTTTATGGTTTAGAGTCATTTATATAAGTCTGTCTTTATTTTATATTTAGGATATTAATGTCATTGTAGTTTTATTTTGTAAGTCATGTGCCTTTTAAGTGAGTCGTGACCAATTAAGGGCTGTCTTGTCATTTTAGCATTTTAATTCTGCTCGACAAAATTCTAACTCTTAGATTATGTTTACATGAAGGTCTAGGATTAAATCTTTGCTAGGGCATCCCTTGTGCTCAAAAAAGGGTTGTTCCAAGTTGTATTCAGGAGTCTTTTGCGTATTATCAATATATATGGTCTGCTACAGCAGCTTTTACCTCTCCCTTTTCTTTGGGATTGAGTTGTGGGAGATTTAAGCTATTATTTACGCTTGGATTAGCTCTTTGTTTTCCCTTTCATAGCTGATTGCATTAACAAGATACCTGATCACAAGAAGGTCAAGCTTGTAGCTATTCGTTTCAAAGGTAGAGCATCGGTATGGTAGGATCAACTTTAGTTTACTCTGCAACGTCAGGTAAACCAAAGATCGTAGAATGGGAGAAGATGAAGAAAAAGTTTAACGAACAATTTTTGCCTTTTAATCATGTCCAAACGATGTATTAACGTTTGCTTAATTTTAAGGAAGGGAAGTCGCAACATGGAAGATTATACATAAGAATTCTATCAACTAATTGCGTGCAACAATTTATCGGAGAGTGATAAACAACCCGTGTTGTGTTATATAAGTGGATTAAGGCCAAGTATACAAGAGGTCTTACTTTTACATTCATTTTGATCCATTTCGGAAGCTTATCAAAGGACTTTGATGGTAGAAAAGTAACAAAACAAGCCATTTTCGCGTTCTAGCAACAGTTCTGCTGGTTTGCAGTCCCCTTTGAAGGGATAATTAACCCCAACAACAGTGAGGAACGAGACCCAAAATGTGGGATAGCAGCCGCCAGAGTTGGTGGAGTTAAAGAGCAGGCTGCCAATGCCGGAAACTGTCAAAATTATTGAAGGACAGCAAGCCAAAATCGAGGTGGAGACCTTGGGAAAACGTGTTGTAAGTGTGGAGGAGAGCCTAGAAAACAGGAAAAACAACTTTTGATCGAGGAAGACGGTGCAACCCCGGAGACTGAGCCAAACTATGATGATTCCCTGGAGGAAGAATGGAAGAGGGCGAGGATATCTTCTATGGTGACGTAGGCCAACCTTTGGTTATGCCAAAATCATCATTGCTTCCGAATTATGAGGATGATGAAGTTTGGGAATTCAACACAGCTAAAGAAGAGGATGATTAAGAACAAATTTGCTATTGAGAGTCATCAACATGGATTAGACAATGATCGGGTCGAAAGAATTTACAAATTGTATGTCCAAGACGGGGAGAAGTTCGGGCACCAAGTTAGTGAAGATATTTTGGTGTATTTTGGTGTCGCTACCTGGAGGTTCTAATGGCAATGAACAGTATAATTCTATGACAGAAAGACTACTTTGGTTGGGATTGACTTTGGTGTAAAGCTTCTTACTCCTCTTGCTTACTGTTTTGAGGATGATATCTTGCATCTCGAGAATGGGAAATATGAGGACCCAGTTTTTTTTTTTTTTTAATTAACTTTCCTTTATTGTAATAAATTCAATTATGGCTAGTTTTGTTATATAAAGAGTGGCTAGGGTATTAAAGAGGGGGTATTTAGTATTATTCTTAATACAATTGCACTAACTATTGTTTGCTCTTGTTTTCTCCGTGTTCAAGTATTCTTTTCCTTCTTAGTTTCTCTCTCTCTGCTTTAGATGACAAATGTTTGTCCTCTCTTGGTAAGGCGGTAACATTCAATCGAACAGAACAGAACAGAACTTGATGCTTCTTTAACCATTTATACATTAGTGCACAAGACACAGAAGTTACAAGAACAAAGTTTCTGTTGTTTTCATTTTTTTTTCCTTTTTCAATTGGCTGGTAAAATAACTAGACAAAATTTAATTTGACAAAAAAAATAAAGAACAAAGGTAAAAACTACAAAATTAACAGGTATTGCCAACCTCATTTTTTTCCAAATGATATTGTTCAATAGGCAGACAGAAGAAATCAGCATCAGCACGCATTGGCCAACCTAAGCGGAAACAATCAACTGACCTGTAATTTCATATAAGAAAACTAGTAAGTAGAGGGTACTTAAAACAGTGAGGGGCCTTAGCTAGAGCAGAATAGAAAAATAGGATTAAAGTAGCTGATCCCAGGTAGTTGCAATAAGAATTTGTTGAGTTGAGTATAAAACAGTGAGGGATTAAAAAAATGGAATACCAAAAGTATTCATTTAAATCATCATAGTTCCTCCACTGGGAATGCTTTGTCTTCCCTTTTCTGCTCCTTTTAGCCTCCTGTACAGCAAAAGGTCAAAATGCTTTGACAGAATTAAACTTCAAAAATAATTAAAATTTCAATAATTAAGTAATAGAAAAACATCGATGTAGTACCCTCGCAACCACTTCATAAATAGGAGTAACAACTTTCCTCAAGAAAGCCTCTTCTTCACCACCATAGGCTGGCTTCACGTTCTCACCTGTCATGGGGCTGACATTTCCAGCTAGCATACCATACAGCTCAAATGCCATCTGCAGTAAGAATAGAACATGAGAACCCAAAACAATGGTATTGCAACTATACTTTTTATTCGTATTCAACCCACGCAGAAATTTCAAAAAAGCATATTTCATCGATGTCTGACAAAAAGATGCTCCAAGCTTTTGAAATCACTGTTCATTTTTTATTTTTCTGTAAGCACATTTTCATTCAGAAGCACAAAAATCGAGGTGCACCATAATTACACTCTCATCTCCCTCCAAAAAAGGTACAAAAGAATCCATCAATAAGGAATAGCCGAATAAGTACAAGAGATAAAAATTCTAAAGATCTTAATACACTAGAGTCCAAATTCAGGATCACATTCCTTCAAAAAGCCTCTGCTTTCTCACTAGTAGCTCCACCATAAAGAGGTGTTACCCAGAAAATCTCTAAAGCCCAAATCCGGACCCTACAATCTGGGGGCTAGCATGAGAAAGGCTGATGTTTAGTCAAAGTAAGAGAACTAAAGCATCAGAGAAAAATCAATATTAAAGAAATCCAATCATATTTAGAAGTCACTTTAAGAGGAATGAAGATTTACAGTTCTTCCTTTCTTTTCTTACATATCTTTATGTGCAGGCAGTTTGAAAAGTTTACTTCACCTTGATACAAATTTCACTTTCGTAAAAAATCATTCATGCCTGATGCCAAAATAAGAATAAAGAAAGAAAGAAGAGGGGGAAAAACAATAGTTTAAAGGATAACATGAATCCGGTTTGCGAGAATTTCAGGGTGCCGGTCCGAACCAGAAGTGGTAGTTGGTTTAATACCACTACAAACGGGCCCGCCGACTGAGAATTAGAGCAACCGTCCCTTATTCCAGTGTTCATGACATGCTACGGAACCTCCACTTAAGACCTTTGTGACTTTCATCGGTATACAGTACATTGGGCTAGGCATTCTGTAGGGTATTGGCATTGTGCAACACTAGTCCTGTTGTCCGCCTAATTAGTGGGGAGACATTGATGTATGCTGTTGTGAAACCTTTGAATACTTTGAATCAAGCCTGCATTCTTGCCCGCCGACCATTTTCAAGAGTGTTACTATAAGCAGTTTCTTCCTCGGTAGCTCCATATAACGAACTTTAGATTCGGCTCATGAAATTCATCCAATACCCACAGGTCGTAGTGGTTATGAGCTCCAGAAAAGTCATTTTTCCTGGAGCTTGCAAAGTATATTTATAATATTTAGAATTGATAAATACCGGATTCCGCTAATAGTTAATGAATTTATAATAAGTATTTGTCTTGAATTTGTTGAGATCCTTGAGAAGAGAGAAGAAGAGAAAAAACTCATGCTGGTTTTGTAACAGTTCACACTCTTCAGATAAGATATTTTCAACACTTACAAATTCAAATCATTAAAAAGTAAAATAAGCAACATATCCATCTGCATGGATAGCACTAGTTTGATCATCTCTTTTTAGTTAGTAGAAACTGTAGAATAGTACAAAATTCCAAAGAGAAAAGATGCTTTAACAATTCAACAAACTTTTCAAATTGTATTAAATTCTATACAGAATTACAAATTAACTATATATTTTTTAGGTAATAGGACCACTTCATTTCAGCTGCTAGGTAGGCACAAATTCATTAGAGGAATTAAGAGAACAAATACTTATCTCAACATAAAATGGAAGGAAAATGATAGAATTGACGACATAATGGCACCCGACATTAAACCAACTTAAAAACAATCTGGCATGGCTATGTACCCCCAACCAAAACAAAAACAAAACCAAAAAGGTTCCACTCGCTAGTTTGAAAGTTGATTCATCTTAGGATAAGCTTACTTAGTGACAACTTGGTAACGCATGATCATTTTTTTTTTTTTTAATCAATACATTAATAGAAAGGACCTCAAAGGAGGAGCGCGTCCCACTACAACTGCACAAAGGCCAAAATAAACATTATACTTTCAAGCTTTCCAGAAAGAGCACGAGATTCTCCACAGATTTACACCACCCATGAACCCAAAAGAATAATGTATTAAAAATATAGAAATTTGAAAGCCCAAATATGAGCATTCAAGGAGGGGGAAAAGCCCAAATAGGAGTCTCCTCCCCAACGAAGTATCTCATATTCCTTAACCTAAGTTCCACCATGGACAGAAAGGGACAGACCTCCATGCATCTCAGCGAGGCTTTAACAAAGTGTTGTTCCCAACAACATGAAATACTAGGAGGCTTGGACCAGGAACAGAGGTATCATCTGGCTTTATATAGTTCTCTTTCAACATCTTGGCAATCATTAAAAAAAGAATTGTTTCAATAATTTGTCATTGCATGTTCACAGTTTCATAAATTAGGAACATTGTCAATTATCAGCAGGATATTTGTTTTTCAACTAATTGTTATTGCAAGTTCATTTAGTTGTGATTATCGGGTAGCTGTCGATTCAATTTGAGAGTCATCCTGAGACCACAATGAACAACCTGACCAAATCAAAAGGCTATAATACATGGGCATTTAAAGCATGTAGAATACCAAGCAGATACAATAAAATCATATTATGGGTATGTCTTGTACGACACAGCTAATGCAAGGCTATAATACATGGGCATTTAAAGCATGTAGAATACCAAGCAGATACAATAAAATCATATTATGGGTATGTCGTGTATGACACAGCTAATGCAAGGCTCACATGTTACGACCATGTTCAACAAATTAAGATAAGGAAAAATAATCCTAGTTCACTAGATGTTCCCATAATTTTTACTCAACTGGAAATCATTATTTCTAAAAAGGGAAGCATGCATGGCAAAAATGGAATGCTAATCTTCAATACACACTTAGATTGTGTTTGGGAGCACCGAATCGGCACACTGGAATTGGAGAAAATTTAGTTGAAACTTTGAACTAAATTTTCTCTAATTCCAATTCCAAGGAACCGGTACCATGCTCCCAAACATTACATTAGAATTTAACTAGTGTTTCCTATTAAAACTTTAGCGAATGCATAAAGCAACAATTAGGAATACAACTGCAGTGGGCACACAGTTGGATAGAACATCCCTGCATAACCACCATCCAGTTTGCACTTCTAGGTGCAGAAAAGTATATGAATCGAACGGCGATACAATGATGATATATGAGGACACTAACAATAAACTTCATGTGCACTACCAAATATCTAGGCATCGGAGTGGAAAAAAGATATGCTTAAACATTTATACCATAATTTATGTTGCAAAAACTGAATAGAAGGCTCAGCACAATTCAAAGGATATTCCAATTGCTTGAGGTCAGCTAATCGGATCCGCTTCATAGGTAATGCATAAACTTAGAGTTATATCAAGTTTATCAACCATCATGATAAGTTGACAACAATCACTTTTTTATCACAGATACAACCGTTTCTTTAAGCCTTTCCCTTGACATCTAGCACCCTAAGCCAAAACATATCACTTATGACTGGAAGTTTTAGTTTTCTAATCAAGCTGTCCAATTTTTTCAACAAAGTGTCAATGGTGCTCAATCAGTACAACATTTCCGTCAAAGACAATAAAAATATACCATTTCTGATTAACTGAGTGGAAAAGCAATTATCGAATTTCATTTTGCAACACTTTATTTTACTCCATTTACAAAGAGTCTAAAAAGGTGATTTAGACAATGTCAATGATAAACACAGCCGGAAATAAATCAAAACAAATAATTAAACGCATAATATCCAACTAGAAACTACAACATGGCACATGCCATGTTTACAGCACGGACTCCTCTTGGGTGCAAACAATTCCTTGGAGGGGAGGTGTGAGTACCAATTAGGGAAAAAAACATGGCACATGCTGTAAATTCAAATTTCAAAAAGAGAGAGAGAGAGAGAGAGAGAGAGAGAGAGAGAAAGAAGAAGAAGATAATCTTGAGGCTTACATGATGATAGATATAGCAAAGACATTCTGGCATGAATCTTAAGTTTGCCGCTTCACCCCATATAAGAAGATATAAACCCATGTATAAAAGTTTACGCTGTTGCACTTCCTGCTGTATAGTTGGTAACCTGCAGTTTGAAACACAAGAAAGAACAAAAATAAAACAAATGACTTGAAAAAAAATGGACAACCAAAATTTAACCTTCCGCATTGGTCCAAACAAGAGAAAATCAAACAAGCAACCAAGACTTCTAGTCATATCATCTTCGTTGTGTTAGACAACTTGCATCAATTCCAGATGCCAACTTTCCGTTCCCATAATTATATCTTAATCTATTTTTCTTCTCCATTTGACATATAAAATATTTCATATCTACACTTGAATCGAACGCCTTAACTGACCTAATCATTGTGTTGAGTACCCATGCTATTATATTTCTGAAAGAGTATATTGATTACAAACGGCACTCAATGATGCCAGTATACAAGGGTCGGGATAGTAAGTCGAGTTAATCATTTCAATACGCAGTTTCAGCATGAGAAGTCTCACCAAAGACTACTTTTGCGATCCAAGTACTTGCACCATTTTTTGTAGTTCTTGAAAAGTTTCTTCATCACTTCATTCAGTGCGCGCTCATCCAACTAAGCCAAAAAAGAAAAAGAAAAGGATAATAAAATTTTTAATAGGAAATAACAATTAGTGAAAGCATGCTGACTGGTTCAAAGAGAGGGAACATCTAAAATTTTCTAAAAAATGGAATAATGTTTAAACCAATTTTGACATAAAATCTGTTGACCACACATTCATCAAAAATACTTAAGCTACTAGATAGTGTTGTAAGCCAAATACATATGTCCTCCAATACAACACGTCAGTCTGACCAAACTCTTCAACAAGAGTGGGCCAACATGTCCAACAATTATAATTTTAAGATTATCCAACTCCCGCTTGTACCAGATGATCTCAACTCCCACATGTCGCTTCTGATAGTACAAATCTGTTGTTTGTATCATTGGGACAGCTTTTAGTTATACTTCGTAATCAAATTTACTTTCAGCTCTTTTACACATACAATGTATATAAGTTTTCAAGAAAGTGTGCTGATTAGATACACATTTCATGGATACCCCCACTACCATGACTAGATGAACATTTCTTGGATGCTCCCTACGGTAAAATTTTAAAGGCTGAAACAACCTCTAACCTTCTTTCCCAGATTCTCCAGAAGTGCAATGTACTTTGTCCTAGATGCAGACAGGAACACTTAAGATGGGATGCAGCCATAAGGCTGCTACTTGGGCAGTGTTATCAAAAACCAAAGGCGCACTAAGGCACTATGGAGGTCCCAAGGAGCCTAGGCGCAAGGCGAAGCGCACGCAAGAGTGAAGCCAGACACACAATTGAAAAATTAAATTTCTATTAAAGCATATTCATATTCCATATTAATGGCGCAAATGTCGTCAAAGGCACACCTGGACACACAACAGGCACATGTAGAGCTTGTATGGACATGAAGCCTAGGCGTGCGCCTTTAACAACAATGTACTTGGGTAACATGAAAGATTACAGTAAATGGACAAATAATACTTGTATTAAGGCAATCACTTGGAGAAATTTGGCTTTTTTCTATCATGCCACCCCATGTTTAACAGCAGGAAAAGAATTTTGAAAAATAATGTCCATGGTTCACTCCTTGAAAGCATGAAAAGTAAAGAGAATAGCAATGAACTTTGAAATGAAACGCTGATGATTGCAGCAACAATTACAGTGATAATATAAGTGGCAACAATTTTGATGGGTGCCAAGGTGGCAACAAAGGAGGAGCATAAGGAGGTGGCAGATGAAAAGTACTGAGCAGAAAGAACAAAATGCTGTAGGCATGTCTCAAATGAAGGAGAATGTAAAACTAAATCACTTTACACCTGATTCACAAAAAAAAAAAAAAAAAACACAAAAAAAAAAAAAAAAAAAAAAAAAAAAAAAAAAAAACCCAAAACAAAACAAAACAAAAAAAAACCCCAAAAAAGCAAAAACAAAGAAGAATAAGAAGAGTGAAACACCATTGTCATATGATTGAAATGAACTGTATGATTGAAATTTAAAAATAATAATAATAATAAAAATCCTTAAACACCATTGTTTTAAAAGGATAAAATATTTTTCCAGTCACAATTAAAAGAGATTGAATGTGTATCTCTTAAGAAAGAATCATGCAAACAACAAACCTTCGGTTGTTGATCAGGCTTCGGAAACTGTCGAATGTGCACATTTGCAAGTAATAGGATCAGGTGCTCCCTTTGATTTGCCACGTTATCCTTCTGCAGATTAATTATAAATGAAAAATTAAATTAATAGCATAGAGCTAAAGAAAATCACTACATTTTTCCTTCATTAAATTCAAGAAGCATGCAACATAACATATATGAAGAATGTTAAGGTCATGTAATGGTAAAAGCTCAGGCTAACAAACATGAAAAAGAATCCACTTCATGCAACATATGCAGAATGCCAAGTCTGTGCCCAACTGATCCCCACCCAACACTCCGTTTTGGCCCCTTTTGAGAAAGGCCACATGTTATGCCAGAATCATACAATAATTCCAAGCATAAAAGAAAATTATACCTGAAAACCAAACATTGCTTGAAGCCAGTCCAAGATATCTTCATCTTTTTTCTTCTTGTAGTCTTTTGGCCATGGAAGGCCCCTTGTATTACGAAGAGCAAAAACAGCGGCTTGAATCTACAAACCAATAGTGGCATTTCAATGATAATTACGAAGAGCTAAAGTGAAGTTGATAGAAGTACACCAGAGCACGGACAAGTTAGAAGTTGAAAACAGACCTCCGGATATCTCATAATTGCCTGATTTGCACTATCAGAATCTAGAGGAAGAATATTATATGGAAGATAAATCTCAGTCTTTTCTGCAACTTTATCATGAGTTTCCAATATCTGTGTAAAGGTCAATCATTGTGTTATCAGTATTAAGAAAAAAGTCATTATGCTACAGAAGTTCTTAATTTGATAGAAATTTCCGCTTTCATTTGTAAGAACCATATTAGACAAAGTGCTCTTATCAAAAGTACAACAGACACACAATAAATGCAATCAGTATCACCTCACGATCAACTTCCACAGCCTGAGTTTGATTAACAGCCTTCAAAACCTCAAAAAGAACATTAGCAGTTTGGTATGCTTTCGTAAGCTGTGCACTGAACATTAGAGAAAAATGACAGTCAAATACAAAAGCACTGAAGGAGCAACAAGTATGAAGCATATCACCTGAATACCTAAATCATTTAATATCTCACATAAACTCACCGATCAGCTTTATCAGCAGCATTCTGCAATGCTTGGATGTACTTTTTGTAGTAATGCTGATAAAAGCTCTGCATTTCGCGTGCATCACTTTTCTTGACTCTTCCCATCAATGTCGGATCATTCTCCTGAAAAAGGATAACGAAGCCCTTTAATGATAAACTACAATTAGTGCCCAAGCATGTCTACAATTTCAAGTTTTTTTTCTTTTTTTTCCTTCCAAGTTTTGTTGAAGAAATGTTTTTCGCCAAATTATGGGAAAACTCATTTCCACGAGGACAAATTTTTTTTATGTATAAGTAAGATTGTAATAAAAAGCATTCAAAAGGGGAACGTGTAATACCCCTAATTTTTAGAGCATTTAATTTTTTGTTTTAATTGTGTTTTAATTATTTTATTTGGCCAATTGTTTTTATTAAATGATTATGGTGTAAATTGGTTGTTTGATTATTTGATTTAAGTGGCTATTTGATTAATTTGGTAAATTAAATTACTTTAAATTATTTAATGTGCATTATTTGTTTATGTGCAATTTGCTTGTTAAAATAATTGGTTTAGTTTATTTTTAATTTAATCATGGTTTGGGCTTGGAGTTATTTGACCCAAAGGAATGGGTTTGGGCTAATTATGGCCCATGGGAAGGTGAATATAAATATATATGTGTGTGTAAGGTGAATATAAATATATGTGTGTGTGTGTGTGTGTTAATTTATATATATATATGTATGTATATATGTATGTATGTATGTATGTATCAAGCGGATATTTGATTTGGTAAAATTATACGTTTGGTGATTCATTTATTATTATTTTAGTTAGACTTAGGATTTGTGTAATATAAAAGAGTTTTATATATACATGAGTTACAAAGAGAGGATGAGAGATATATATATATATATATATAGAGAGAGAGAGAGAGAGAGAAGAGGAAGAAGAAGGTGACCGGAGAAGGACAACGAAGGTGACAAGGGTTGCCTGCATTGGAGAAGAAGACCGGAGCGATTGTAGAGAACTTGGTGTTTGGTTTTCAATCCGAAAACCACAAGGCAAGTTCTATGTTCTACTCTTCCCCTTTGAATCCTTATTCTCTACATCATTAGATTGACTTTAGGGTATTTAAACAGAAAAATTAAATAAGTTTCAATGCTTAAATTGAATCAAAAACAATCAGTTTCTGTGTTCATGTGTGTGAAACTGTAAATGGTTATAGAATTAGGTCTTGCAAATTGGTGCATGAAAACTTGAATTTAAGTGCTTAGATCTTGTATAATTATTCTATAATAATATTGGGAATCAATTGGGACATAGATGCATGCTCTAGGACCCTTAAAGATGAATTTTCAGACTCGAAACATAGATGCATGCTCTAGGACCCTTAAAGATGAATTTTCAGACTTGAAACAGACCTGCTGAGCTAGTTTTACGAACCAGTGCTCGAGCACTGTCAGTTTCGTGAAACAGTGCTCGAGCACAGTGAGGGCGAGCTCGAACACTGTACACCTGATTTGCCCCAAAAGTGTTCCGAATAGTCCCAAATTGATTTATTAGGTTCCCGAACTTGTACTAAAGCCTCGGGAACAGTGTTATATTATTTAAATTGCATAGAACCTATTTATGCTTTTATGATTTGAGATTTGATTAACTATTAAGGTATAAAATGAACCTTTGAAACATTTAAATTTTGCAACTAAATGTTTTAGTGCGATGCATGATCTTAATCAACTTAGCTGCTGTAATTATGATCGATATGAATGGTCCATGGCTGTACTTTATGGTTTACCTTTGCTAGATGTAATTGACTTTAATGACTTACAAGTTATTTACATGGTTTATGATTGCTTTATTTGTTATAGCAATTGCGATAGATGATAATATGATTTTATTCAAGCTCAATTTTGTATTTGTGATCTTAAAATGTAGAATCTATGACTGTTGTGCCATTGTTAGATATGGTTATTATTGAGATTGTTGTTCGTAGATGAATGAATCATTGAGATAGCTATTAAGCTAGGCTCCTTGATATTGTATGCCATTATTAGATATGAATTTCTATTTTTTGATGAGTAGGTGGGCTAGCTAATAAGTCAAGACATGCTACATTGTGTCAGCGCTAGATATGGTTTATTTGACATATTATTATATTCATATGTGAGCCATGATACAAGTTTGAGGTCTCGGGATCAGTGGTTAAGACCCCGGTTTGGATTGGATCTTAGTGTGTATGTATATATGTATCGACTATATAGATATTGCATGAGTTGTCTAGGGGTGTATCGTTTATCAGTTCTCTGGTTGGGTTATAGTAGAAAGAACTTGTTCGTGGGTCTGACCCACACTTTTATTTTTCAGTTCCAGAGTTGTTCGTGCAGACGAGAAACTACTCTTCATCACTCTTTCAGATCTTTGATGTAGGACATTATCCCAGTTCTTATTTCTCAGACTCTACAGTTATTTATTGTTTTCGATTATGGTTTTTTTATTTAGGGGTTCTTGTTTGGATTCCCAAGTTGGACTTTGGAGTTTTAAGAAAATTATGGATTTATCTTTTATTGGATTTAATTAGAGATTTTGGTATCAGAGGTTTATTAATAATGATTTAGTTTTCCTTTCAGAAATTATATTATTTATTTTTATTTCCTCTTGTATTCTGCGCATGTTTTAAAATATTAATTGTCTAATACCCCCGGTTTTTGGGGGAGGACTTGATCAACCCGTGTCCGAAAATTGGGGGGTATTACATAACACATCCCTCAAAAGCAACACAATGCCAAAAGGGCCTCTAAACTCTCAAAGAGTCCAAGAAATCAACTCTACCCATAGATTTACAATTTCTCCCAAGAACCCAACAAAAAAAAAAAAGGGTGTTAATAATGCAAAACTTCAGCGCCCCATTAAGAGTCTCCTTTCCTTTGAAGGATCTCTTATTTCTTTCGAGCCATGACCACCACCAAATGCTCAAAGGCGCTACCCTACAAAAATATGGACTTGGGCATAAACCACTAACAAAAATATGGCGGCCTCTAACAAAAGCATTTTGTTAATCCGAGATGAACCCATCCACGACCTCCCTCAATCTCAAAGCATGAGCCTTGGCTATTAGTTTATGGCGGGAAACGGGGAAAGGAATAATAAATCTTTTCATGGGGAAAGAGACTCCTATTTAGGTGCTCAAATTCTCTATTTTTGGAGTTCATGGTTGAAATTGTAAATTTTTTTTTTTTTTTTTTTTTTTTTTTTGATAAGTAAAATGGTTGAAATTGTAAATTTGTGCAGGATCTTATGTTTTTGTGGATAGGTTGAGGGTATGGTGGTTTTGATCTTTGTGTAGTTGTATTCAAGATGTGCTCCCCTTTTGAGCATCTGTTATTGAAAATTACTTATCAAAAAATAATACCCATTCATATTAAAAAACCCAAAGTATAGAGTCCATTAAATGGTGCGCTGGTTAAAACTCCAACAAATTAGAATCAAATTGCGGGTTAAAGTCAAGGAACAGCCACTTGGGCAAAAACAATGTTAAAAGGTAAGGTCTGTATCAAGTATTTCACTCCCAAAGACCGTGTAAACGGATATACAATAGGTAAATTTAAATAAAATAAAAAGAACCATTAACTTTAGATATCTCACTTCCTGTACCTAGTATTAAAGAGATTGTACGGATATACACTAGGTAAATTTAAATAAAATAAAAAGAACCATAAACTTTAGATATCTTACTTCCTGTACCTAGTATTAAAGAGATTGTGGAGTATATAACTAAATAACTCTGATTGCCTATTTTTATGATATGGAATTCACATCATTTAAGAAAGAAAAAAATAAAAAATTAACCCTCTTGCCCACCACATTCTTCAGCAACAAAAACGTAATACAACAAAAGTCCATTCCTCACATTTTAGACCACAAAACTATGATGCTAAATTTGTGCAAACACCCACTTCTACTTAATGCCTCAAATTTTTCATTATGAAGCCCATAGTCATTACTCCACTATCATATATAATTGAAGTAACCATGTTACATACCCTACTCTTGAAATAATATATCATAATACAAGACCTAGAAAGAACCTAGCCAAAAAAAATCACATGACAACCAAAGATAGAAGATTTATACCATAAGTGAACAAAACTCACATAAGATACAAGTACGGATAAGTTTATGTTCTATGTCATCAAACAATCACTCCTTTGTATCATAGGCATGCAAGAGGAGATTTGGATCCCGATGTATTTTTCTTAATTCAAATGATCAAGTTTTAAGACCCTAGTTAAGTTTCAGTTAAGAAATACTTATTCTAGTTTTGTTCTCGTTAGAGGTCAATCAACTAAAATTGAGCTGATAATACAAATTCAACATACACATGTTAACAGTGAATACTGCATTGCAACAAAAATAATAATAAAATGCGGGGCTATTATGTTTACAATGCCTGGGAGGAAGAAATGGCAATAAACATAACTTTCATATCAACAAACAATTTTTGTTACGCTTTTTTGTTGGGTAAGAAGGTCCACAAGTAAATTTTTAACGACTTGTAAATGCTGACTCACTTAGTGCATCTACTTGTAAGCGCATGCGTGATACTACGACCTCCAAATGCAATCCGGTGATTAATTGTACATTATTTATAGCTATAGAATAAGTGCTTAATTCCCAACACAACCACAAGCATTTTAGTATAGATCAAGTCATACTGAAATTTAAATGCGTTTACCAACTTATACCAGGGAGGGGTGAAGTAACAATAATTACCCTTTCCAGGCGTTGAAGAAGTGCAGTTTTAAATTGACGGACACCACGTCCACTTGAAGTAGGATCTAACCGGTGAGCTTTCTCAAAAGCATAAAATCGACCTGCATCCATAATTCAATACCACCTTCAGACCAGACTATTAAAAAGCATATAATAAAAAGAATTCCATGAGAAAGCGACATACAATAATAAAAACACAAACATGAATCAGAAAGGGGAGGGGGCGGGAAGAAAGCCACAAAATATAAATTGATAATCCCCATAGAACATTAAACAGATGATCTGTAGTATGGATGGAAGAAAGAAATTTAAGAAAAATTGCATTATATGAAATCACTTCACTTCCAGACCCTAAAAATAGTAGGAATGTTATCCCACCACCCAACAATAGTTTTTTTATTATTTTATATATTTTTTTAAATTTGTTAAAAAGGATTTATTTAGAAAAGAAGGGGGGGGGGGGGGGGGGGGCGGCGGAGGGGGGGGAGAATGTACAAGAAGAGTGATGTGTCCCATCACGGAAATACGAAGAAGAAAAGGTAGGAAAAAGGAAAAAAGAAAGTTGACCAGTAGTCATGGTTTTAAATTGTGGTAGTTTAGTTATGCTATGAAATGCCATTATGTAGTGGTATCACAGGAGGCTGGCTACCGCTGTGTGCCAATGTATCAATCAGACTGAAATGACATTAATAACAGTCATTACACTCAAGTTGGCATTCAAATGGGGTCGGCTCTAAGCATGGTAGATGAGAAATTTTATAAGATGGAGTATAATTAAGGTAAAGTATGATCAAGTGATACCCCAAATTGAATATTGATCCAAAAAGGAAACTGAGGAGAAAATAGCCCATAGAGAAAGAATACTGTAGGTGAAGTAGAGGTCCGCCTTCAAAATGTTGGATGATCATAAAATACAGGCTAAATTAAAGGTAAAGTTGTTGAAGAAGGTAAAGGCCAGATAAAGAATGATGGGCAATTAAAAATAATGCAAACTAACAGTGCAGTAATTAAAATTCATATAGTACGTAATAATTCTTTAAAAAAAAAATTTGCTGTTAGAAAAAAACATAAACATAAAATACAGAAATTTAGGGGTCCTTTTGGCAGCAATTTCTACTTTTCATTTTTGATGTCATCTGACGCAGAAACAGTAATTTTTTTGTGGTGTGATTTATTCCAAAACAAAGACTTGTTTGGTAAGTAATTTAACACCATGTTTCATAAAAATACAAATAAAAAAATGTTTCAATTTTTTTTTTTTTAAAAAGGTATCATTGTTCAGCTGCAATAGATAAAAACAAGTGAAAATGATTTTATTTTTTAGTTTTTTTGGCTTTTATATTTGAGTCTTTTTCTGAAGCAAATACAATATTGTGCAAAATGTAACAAACATTAGCAAATGTGTTTTTCCTGACTTATATATCTTTTTCACCAATTTGTCATCAACAGCACAAAGAGAAAACGATTGCCAAACAAGTGTATAAAATTTCAATAATAAATTTAAAAAATAAGAAAACAAAAAAGAAAGTGAAGAGAGAAAGAAAGGTGCCGCGCATACATCATCGATGAGTGCAAGAAGTTACAAAATTTCAAGAAGAAAATAAAAAGGAAAAAATATATGAGAGAACTTTGAAGGGAAAAAATTAGGGTTTGATTGAAGAAAGGAAATGCAAATTATTTTGAAGACAATCAAAAAAAAAAAAAAATGAAGAAAAAAGAGAGTAACAAGGAAAAGAAGGAAACATTTTTAGAAACCTATAATCTTAAGGGGGGACATTATGTAAAATTTTATAAATATATTTATATATTAAAAAAAAAATTTGGGCCAGCACGGGGCCAGGGGAAGCACCTGCCCCCCGTGCCTATCGGTGGCTTGGTCCCGAGTATAACTAAAATGAGAATGTTAGATGGGTGACGACTAGTAATACAAAAAAGAAAGAAAAAGAAGAAAGTAAATGCACCCAAAACAAGCCATCTATGGCACCTATTTATTTACTTAACTACTATTATAGCAATTCTTACAAAGAATGGTCAAAACCACTTGATTAAAAGTTTAAGTAAATTTTATTAATTATCCAACCATTCTCACATATGGAGTAACCTATGGAACCCAATCCCTTCTATTTTTTTATTTTTTTTTTTTTTGATAAGTAAAATTGTACTAGAAAGTGTTCAAAAGGGGAACACGTCCCAAGAGCTATACAACTACCGGAACCCAATCCCTTCTACTAACCAAAAGTTTAAATGAAATGTTGGTTATATGAACCAAACTACTGACCAGGGTGAACAAGAATATCATATTTTACTACTGAAGAAAAATTAAGACGCAGAGCATAATAACAAATTGCTTAATAGGTCATTTTATTGTCAACCTAATTAATTAATACTCTAGAATAAAGAATAAATATATTAATTCGCTCTTAATTTTGGCAGGCTATGTTTTTCATGCCCTTTTCAACGTGCATATTAATCATCCCCACAATAATTTAATGCATCGAGATAAAACCAAACAGAAATTACCTCCAAGGAACCCAATTGTTGTTACAAAAAGTGGTAGGTAGTCACTCTAACATCACAATTCACGTGCATCAGTTAGTTGTTGTACACCAAGCTGTGATACCAGCTTTTGCACCAGGAGAAACAAATATGCATCAAGATCTTTTTCTTATTTTTTTTTGATAAGTCAAGATCTTTTTCTTATTTTGACAAGTAAGAATAATATAGAAAGCATTCAACAGGGGAACGCATCCCGAAAGCTACACAAAGGCCGAAGCCAGAGAAAGAGGTCGTAAGGACTCAAGGATCCCAAGCCCTAGGCAGGGAAGAAGCTTTAGAATGATGTCAAAGGTTAAAAAATCAACTAACTCCTCTATAGATATACAATTCTCCCCATCCCCGAACTAAAAACAGAACTAGTCATAATAATTGAACACACATAAACATGTTTTCAAACATTTGGTTTCACCAAACTCTTACCTCCTTCTAAGCCAAGAAGAGATAATCCATTCATCCCTTCCATATTTTAGATAAATCACAATAACTAGAGAGTTTGTGAGATTAGTATTGACACCAAGATGAAAAATTGTGAATCAACCATGTCTCTCTACTCAAGCAACAGCTCCCAGGCCACTGAAGAATTATCTATTGCCCAGCTCAATAAAGCCTCTTGAGTTACCATCACTTTATTATTGTTCTTGGAAGCACAAACATTCCTCTAGTGGTGTTGTGGCCATGTCCGACACTAACACACGTCTGACACGACCTCATACGTTTTCTACACAAGACTAGATGTATTTTGGAATTTGGGAATTTTTTGCCCTGGTCGGACATGGACATGGACACTTTCAGGATATGGTGGGGTAACATCTTAACTTATAAAATAAATAAATAAAAAGAATACGGCTGGGTAATTTTTAAATTTTTTTTTTTAAAAATGGATTTCAATGTAATTTAATACATATTATGGTAAATTTTTAGAAAACAAAAACAACGCAAGTCTAGCTCCAAGCTATAAATTAGTGATTACATGATCATGTAAACAAAATCAGCAAAAATCATGTTTTTATTTATACAATAATATATTATACTATTATTTATTTGACATATCCATGTTGTGTCCGTGTTCTACTTTTTTTAAATTTGCACATATCAATGTTACCCACGTCTTGTGTTCATATCCGTGCATCTTAGCTATAGCGTTGGCGTTCTTTGCTCTCCCCAACCCTCTCCACAACCCTTGCAAGATGAAGGCGTGTTTATTAGGAGCTCATCTCCCATGAAACTACATCTCTCTCATTTTAATTCTTATAAATTTCAAACAATAACCTAAATATGTGTTTACAGATCATTGACATTAATTACTGGCAGGATAACGAATAAAATTCCTTACAACCCATGTAATCCCCGGTAAGAACTTTCCAAAGAATAATCTAAACCAAAATAGGAATTTAAATTTAATTCCCACAATCTATACCTTGGTCAAGTTCCATAAAACCAGTCATTATAGTAGTCATTGTATGATTTCCTAGCATTTAACGTATCACAATTTTGCCTTTCTGAGAACCAATATACTAATTGAACCAACATACTCCAATTCTTGTACAATAAGATGAATAAAATACTATCATTGTGTCCAGATTTGAAGGAAACCAAAGCAAAAGTAAAGACCTCTTAAATTGTGTTTGGTTTAAAGATGAGGGGGAGAAGAAATAAAAAAAAGGAAGGAAAGACCCTAAAACAATGTTCCTTGGCCCTTCCAGAAATGCGAAAAAACAGAGGGAAACAACACGAGTTATTAATTACCAATAACACTATCTACTTGTTTTATCTTACACCACTCACAAAATAAAGCAATTTTTTTCTTTCTTCTCTCCACTATCTTTTTCCAAACACATTGAAGGTCTATTGCTATCTTTTCCTTTCTCTTCCCTCCTTGATAATCCAAACATGACGAAACATTGATGCAATTCACTTGTTCCTTTCATTTTTCTCTCTTAAGCCCTCGCTAATGGTATCTTCTCCTTCCCTTCGTCTCCTACTTGTCCAAACGCAGTAGTAGTAAACCCATAATAAAAATTGCTTGTGATTTTCTATTGAGAAATGAAACAAAAGATATGGTAGAGCTACGAAAGTCATTGTATATGTATGAATCATCACACAAACATATATAATATATAAAAGAATATAAGACAAGAGAATAGTAGACTTACAGAGATAAGCAACCCTTGGGTTGCTTGGTTCGACTTCATTAGCGACACGGAGAATCGGAGCAATCTCAACCAGTGACGACGGCACAACCTCGCTGTCAAATATGGACTCTCCCAGATTCCCAGCCGTCTGAGTCCGTGTGATCCGCCTCTGCGGCGGATGATCAGAACCCCCTCTCGACGACATTCCCACAACACTCCTATCAACAATTCAAAAACACCTCCTGCACCTGTAGAAAGTTGAAACCAGTAAAACCCTAACCAACACATTCACTGAACAGACAGAATAATCACTGAAAATTAAAAATAAAAATACAGATATACAACGATAAATGCACAAATACAAACAATGTAGAGAGAGAAAGTTTAAGAGAGAGAAAGTATTACAGCTTATGGAGAAGCTAAGCTCCCGAATCTAGCATCTGCAAGAAGAAGAAGAAGAGAGAGTAACATGAAGAGCAACAAATAAGATTGGAAAGTAGAGTAATGTGAGGTCAGAGAAGGAGTGAATCACATGGATGATGTGTAGTGCTGATTTGAGAGAAGAAAATTAATGTGGATGTTCAGTGAATGACGAACCCTAGGAGAGAGAGAAAGCAAAAGGCATAGGTAGAGAGAGAAAGTGGGGTGGTGGTGCGTTGGAGAGGCTGCAACTTTAAGCTACTTAGCAAGAAAGGAAGCAATATAAGGGAAGAACAAGAAGCCGAAGGAAAGTTACTCAAAGCTTTGGTATTTACAGATAAGTGGGGTACAAGTTCGGTTAGAAAAGTGGCACAATGTTTTGCTGATTTTACAAGAGTGCCACTAACCCCTCCTAGCCCTTACAATCTTCAAGAGGAGGGAGTCCACTCGAGTGTTTAGACCAAAAATAATTAAAAATAAAAAAAGAAATTCACTCCGATATAATGGAAAGTCTCTACTTAGCTTTTTTTAAAATTGCGTTTAAATTTTTTAAAAGCTTATTTAATAAACACAAACTATTCCAAATAATATTAAGATTACTCCGTATAGATTTGTGGGTTAAGTTTGAGTAAATTTGTTATATTGTTGAATCTAGGATGTTGTATATTTATTTCTATTTAATAAAAATGTAAAGTATGCTCATGACTCATCGTCTGCTTTTTTAAGATCTTTCTAATTAGAAGACGTTGTATATTCAGTGCAAGTTTCATGAAAGGCGATTATATAGATGAAATTGGTAGGTTAAACTTGTTAATTAAAGTGTTTTGAAAACATTAATCAATAATTTTATGAATATAGTTTGGACCAACTTTAAATATGAACAGAAGTGGAACTTGACTTGTTTTTTTGAACAAGACAATTCTAACAGAATCCAAACTTTTCAAAAACACAAATAAGTTGAGATCACAAATGAAAAGAGCATATCTTAACGATGATATCTCTTTATGCATTTTAATTGTTGCATTTAAACAAAATATAATTAATATAACATAAAATGTAATGTTAGTTTTTTATTAATGACATATATACTTTATGTCGATATCATTACTGTACAATGTGGATTAGAGTTGGAAGTTTAACTTTTTATAGACATATTTATTTGCAAATCCACTTCAATGAAATTATGATTTCAGATTTTAGAATTTGATTTTTTATTGAATATCATACTTTTATATATATATATATATATATATATATATATATATATATATATATATGCATATGTTAAGAAAAGGAAAAAAAAAAGTAGGGAGATGGGATAAGGGTGATTTAGTCAAACGCGCACAAGTAGATGCTAAGTGGCGTTCATGTAAAAACCAACAACAACGTGGGCATCGAATACGATTGTTCAAAATTCGAAAGCTAGATTCTTTATGATCCAACGCCAAGAAAAAGAAATAAAGTAGCCGTTTAAAAACAGTGAATAGACCATTGTACCCTTCTAAATCTACAAACACAACCGCCTCCAACGCGAATTCAAACCAAAGTCGGGGCCAATTTTGGTAAACTTCGTTTAACCCACCCTTTTGATTCATAATTTCATACTTTTAACGCTCTGATTTTAAAATATTAGGTAATTATGGGAACTAAACAGGGATGCTTTCGTCCTATTGTTCACGGTCTTTATATCCTCGGATAAAGAGACATTTGTCGGTTTGTTCTGTCCGGGCCCACTTCATCAGTGGGCCCGACAATGACATGAGTACTCTGGTATCTGCGAATTACAATAAATAATCCACCAATGAAAATGACGGAGGCTTATCTAAAACCATGGGCTTTTACCCGAAGTGGGTTGGGTTTTCCCTATTTGAAAATATAAAAAACAGAACCTATCAGAACTTTTTTTTTTTTTTTTTTTTAAATTTCTAGTTGAACCTATCAGAACTTTTTCCTTATTTATTTACTTTTTTATTTTATTTTATTATTCTTTTAGCATTTCTTGCAACAACTAGGCAACACATAGCCCTCACACATGATATCTAAGCTCTAACCCATCAATTAAAATATTTTGATTGCAGAGTCACACCTGATTTCTAAGTTCTAACTCATCAATTAAAATGATGTGAATATTTATATGACTTGTTTGATTCATTTTTTGGCATAGTTTTTAATTTTTAGAGATTTAATTTTTAATTTTTGAAAAAATATATACTAATTTTTAAAGGATAATTGTCTTTTATAGTTTTCTAAGTAATTTGAGAACTAAAACTGAACATGACATTTTTTGTTGGTCTACAAAATTTTTTCTTAGGCATATGTAATTTTAGATTATAATCAAAATAACCCATATAACTAATATAATTGTTTTGGGTTGGACAAACACAGAGGTAAGTAGGGGGGGCACATGCACCCCTGGCCCCACCCTATATAATATATATTAGATTTTTAAAATTTTTTTTACTTCTTAAACTTTTTTCTTTATTTCTTTCTTCTTTGGTATGTCCCCTAAATTTAAATCCAGACTCCTTTGCTGGAGTTACGTTTTTGGTATATGATATAAAAAATAACACAGAAGTTAAAAATAAAATTTTATAGAAATTTCATTAGACAACTATATTATATAGCGCAAAGTGTTGGGCATTAAAAGAACATCTTCATGAAATGAAAATGAGAAGAATATCTATTCGAGATCTAACAATATGCCGGTAAAGTGAGGAAGACTAGTTTTTTTTTTTTTTTTTTTTGTTATGAAATGCAAAGGAAGCCTAGTTATAATAAAAGAGGCCATTCAAAAATAAACATGGAATAAGGTTATTAAAAATGACTTTAATGTTGTGTTAGGAAGGAATCAATGAATTTCCTTTGTTTAGTAGATACAATACAAAGAAAGAAATGAGAATAGGAAGGATGCCTCCTTCAAAAAAATTTATCGGCCCAAAAATGGGTAAATACTACCATAAATTATATAAATTTAAAATTATCTATGGGTAAATACTATCCTATATTATATAAATTATCTTCTATAAATTACAATATTATTTGATATAATGGTAAAAACAATTAAAACTTTATATTTCATTCTCTCTTAATGAACATAGTAAATTAAAAGTTTATTCTTTTATCTTCTACTCAACTGAATAAAAAGAAAGAAATACACAAACTTTTCCTTATCAGTCCGTTTATTTAGGCTGGTGAAAAGAAAGTTAAAGAAAGTTAAAGAAAGTTAAGTGATCGAAGTTAGCGAAGTGAAAGAAAATTAAGTTTCCAACATCAATTTGGTTAAGCATTAAAAATTTGTAAGAAAATTATGCAAAATTACTATTTTAAAGTTTGAATAGCATGTAACTTACCAAAAAAGAAAGGACAATATTGTAAGTTCACAAAAGTTTATCAATAAATCCAAATTTCAAGTGTATCTAATCGATCCCTTCTTCTCTCCTATCCAATTTTGTTTTTTCCCACGGAACAGAGCATAAAAGCTAAATGTAGAGAGAATTTGTGTGCCCCATTCACATAGAATTAAGGCAAGAATAATGTCCATGATTTGTGCTAAACCTACTTTCAGAGTCGACTAGTTTCCAATACAAATATACAATTTTCTTTTAAATGATTCAAAGATTTTCAAAATTCCAACCATCTAAGCCGAGTTTGCAATGCAAAAATTACCACCCACCGTCAAGGCTGTTGCGCTACCCCCATAATAGCTACCACCACCAGCATAAATTTATTCCAGAAAAAAATGTTATAGATCAAAAACTACCATGACTTTCACTAGCCCAAATATTTGAAATTAAGAAGGATATCGACTATGTAACGCCAAAATGAAATCCACATGCTAAGTTTCGAAAATCTGCAGATTACTCTGCACTTTCTAGGCAAATTTTGTCACAAAGCAACAACTGAATACAAAAATGGCAAGCAAATGTTCAATCTTTGCAAGTAAGATTTCAAATTTCTAATTGCTTAATCAATACCAGGCACAAAATCCTTGAAATAAGTAAAACAAAAGTAATCCTGAATCCAAACTACGACCCTGTCGTAAAATACAAAATGCTGAACATTGCACAATAAAGATCAATCCGCTGGGTAGGTGCAGGCACATGAAGCAACAAGGAATTCCTTAGAAAAGGAAATTCAATTGGCAGTAATGATTCAACCAACCACACCAGTAGAAGTCTAGCCTAGAGGAGACAACAACACTACAAAGCCGGAATCACTGCTGTGACGGTCCAGGTGGTGCAGAGTGCTGATATTGTTGTGGGGCCACTGGGGGTGGTGGTGGGGGAATTGTAGAGTGATAAGGTGGAGGGTATTGCTGATATGGCGGAGGCGGAGGCGGTGGTGGCATATACCCATATGGTGGATAAAACGGCTGGTGAAATTGCCCTTGAGATGGCGGCATCCCTGGGTAAGGGTAATGCTGCCCTTGCTGCTTCTCTAAACCACTTTTATTCTCGCCAGACCCTGAAGGCCCACTAGGAGCCCCTTCTTGAGATGGAACAAGAGCACCCATTCTTTGAGGATCCATTGAGGGATAATATGCCCTCTCCTGCTGAGGTGGAGGGGGTATATTAAAATAATGCATTTGTGGGGGTTGGTCCTGAGTGCCAGGTGGTTGTAGTTGGTTTTGCTGTTGCGAGATTACGGCCCTAGGCAACATTCCACTATGAGCTACTACTGCCTGCTGCTGTGCCTCATTTGAGAGCTCCGACTCCGGCTTTGGTGCTTGTGGTCTACCCCACAGAAGCTTCAACCTCAGACCCTTTATGACCAGCTTATTTGAGAGTTCTTCTGCTGCTTTCTCAGCACCTTCTCTGGTGGTGTAAGTAACGAATGCGCAAGCTCGTTGAAGCACCATTCTTACGGACTCAATTTCACCGTGTGCATAGAAGTTATCCCTCAGGTCCTGCTCAGTAATTCTTGCATCAAGCCCACCGACATAAAGGGTTCTAATGCTCTCATCCTCGGGAGGTTCCAGAGAGGGCATTTCGCCTGCCTTATTAAGTAGCTTCAACGCCACTGGATCATTTACCCTGTAAATTTCAGAAAATCACAAAAAGGAAAATAAATAAGAACAATAATGAACTTGATTCATGCAGCACCTATGAATGAGGAGAGATGCATGTGAATATGTGTGGCTCCGTGCAGCCCGAGTGGATGGGTGTACTGGAGTACAATTTGGGTAAAATGTCAAAATTATTTACAAAGGGAATATATTTAAGTGAAACCGAAAAAAAGTAAATGGGGCATTGAAAGGGTTGCCCAGATTCAAACTGATACACAATTCATCGGCAACATCTTTACAACTACCATTCAAATTTTAAGAGTTCTGTCTCCTTACAAAGGTTACAATCTCATTGTTCTCAACAAATTTCATCCACAGATAAAAGGGTATATTTAGGACAAGAATTGTCAGAAAAGTAAATCTAGACAAGCAAAAATATAAAACCAAAGTTCAGGCATATAAACATGTATACTATGATGCATTGACTCGGGTACATGTGTCGGGTACGAGTATGTATCCATGCGTCAGACGTGTCAAACCTCTAAACAGAAGGACACTGCAAAATATTCATTTTATTTAATTAGTTTATCTTATTTTCTAAAGTAAAGTAATATTTTAATCTAATGTAGTGTTCAATATAGGCTTTTAACTTATTTTAAGGTGACAATACAATATATTTGAATGATTGGATATGCTTTTTAAGTACATGTCCAACTAAAGGGGTCGGACACATCCCATACTCATGTTTGAGCAATATGTGTCTAACTTAGGTATTTCACTACTTTTGAAGAGTCCATGTAACATAGCATGTATATATTATGGAAATTTATTCTAGTACAAACTCCTATAAAGAAGATAATCCACGGATGAACATTACTGCAGCAGTTGTAAGAATCTGCAATCTAATAAACAAATAAAATGTCAGCACGCCATCTGGCAACAAACACTTGACAATAGCTACATGCTGGAGCCCAGCCACCTCTTCCAGTGTTAAAACTTACATGCTCATCACTAACAAGTTTTCAACCCGGACCCAGCAGAAGTAAGGCAAAACTTACTATTTTGTCTAAAAGGCAAAACGATAGTTCACTAACCGGTCTACCTCTGTCTCGGTGGCTTTGGGTCTTGATTTCCATACCACAGGTGAAGGTTTCAATACTGGTAGAGATAAGAAGGAAAAGGTAAGGATGGTTCACTAACAACAAACAACTACAGCATCACAAAAAGGATTGTAAATTTAGTTGTTAGTGCACTTTATGCGGCCTTATCAAGGAGGACGTGGATTCAACCTCCAAAGACACCAATGATGGATGACCCACCCAGCGCCATCCAAATTAGATTCTGAAAAAGTTAATGTGGTGATCTTAATCCAAACAACTTCAACCAAATATAAGGTCATATTTTGATACCCCTTACGATTGCTTCCAAAGAAGCTCATGATACTCTCCATCTGAACAAAGAACAAGTAAACGGACCAAATCTCTCTGAAGTAGGGTCTGTGAACCCCAGATTGCCTGCACACTCCTCTAGCATGACTGTCCATTAAGAACTAAATAAACGCAAGTTTGTTTTTTAAGCCAATGCATTTTTTAACATATAAATCCGTAGTTTTCCTTCTTAGTGCAAGCTTACCAAATCAAGACAACCCTCCCAGGAAAACCACACCATCCTAAACCACTCTCCCTCGCACAAGAAAAAAGAAAGGCAAAAGAGAAATGACAAGTAGCATAATTTTACCATGTCTTTTAATTGTGTGTGTGTGTGTGTGTGACACAGAGAGAGAGAGAGAGAGTCCAACGGCTTGTTTTCTAAAATGATAAAACAAGCTACAGCAATATTACGCCAATAAATAGTTTTTCCACACCATGTTATTAATGGAGCTCGTGAAACTTCTATAACAATGCACCTTGAAAAATAGGAGTTAGCCCCAAATCTTTGTTAGATTTAAACCAAACGGCTCTATATTAACATTTTAGACAAAGTAAATCCACCACATAAAACTTCCATAACAAGAAAAACAATCATTATCAAACTAATGTGTTGCTGTGTGTGCATGGACAAATGCATGTGTATCTGCTGCATGTTTTTAACCTGTCATTTTGTATTTAAAACACATATTCCTTGTATAGAATGCTAACTTCACAACATATGCCCCTTGACTGAGAAAAAGTGAACAAATATTTATATACCACCCCTAGAATCTAGATATTGGAATTATGGCTTTATTAGGTTGCTTGGTCCCACGCCCATGAAATTTGACAAGAACAAATGCATTTGTTTTGTGCATGTGCGCATGCGCGTGTGTTGGGGGGGAAGAGCTTATATATGACCAATTAAATTGAGAGAAAAAACTTTTCACATACCCATAGTATCGATCTTTAATATTTTGCTGTGATAACTCTCCAGTAACTGGCATCTCATGCCTGTAAGGGCACTCAGCACCTCTAGTGCATTCACCCCGAATATAGAAACTGCAAACATGTGCTCGGTTTCTCTTGTAATAAGGTGTCGTTCTTTGAAGCTTCAAAATCGTATCATTTGCGCGTACTTTTCCATAAGAAGAATCATAATCTATACCAGCTCTTGCCTGCAGAGAGCAATGACAACATTAAATTGCCATAAAAGTCTGCCACCATAGAAGAGAAAAGACATTTATCAATTCTTTTTTGGTTAATGATTGGAAGGTCCCATACTTTTTGGGAAGAAGACAAATTACTTCAAATATTTGCAATCGCTCCAAGCCACATATGTCAGGTAAGCCCAAGGAAGAGGTTTAAAGCCTCTGGGAGTCAAACAAGAGAAATCTGGGACATGCCAACTGAGATTGACATTTACTAAATCAACTAAACAAAAGGAGAGAGAGAGAGAGAGATTCCAAATCACCTAACAGTATCTACATAAAAAACCATTGCTTAGTGCAGTGGTAAGAGTTTGGTCCGTCGAGTGTAAAATGCAAGTTTAATTTTAGGGCATCCATTTGTCCAAATATAGCTAAATGTTAATTCTGTATGCAATGGACCACTCCCAGCACACTTGAGGCCTTGACCAACAAGAACTGACATTGAGTAATTGCATCTAACAACATCTACAAGCAATTACGCATTTCTTATTAATAGAGTTCATTAATTTTGCAAATAAACAATAAACCAGAGACTGGAAGTAACAAGATTAACGTATTAACTTCTTATTTCAAAAGGTTAAAAACAATAATAATAAAGTACTTCCAAAGTTCATAATGGAAAGGAACCAACCCAATAATCCCATGCACAACAATAGGAAAACCATGGTTTCTTTATAGAAGGGAAAATTATCAAAAAAGGAAGAGGGATATTATAGACACAGGAAGATTAGAAAATAAAAGGAAGGCTTTACTGTTTGAAGGCTATAGTAGTAAGTGATAAGATGGTAAGAAATCTTTTTCTGGTTGCCAAAATCAAGAGTAATGATTTTCCTCAGTACATTTTTCAAAAATCCCCACTAAATGAAACAATATGAGTAATCAATTTACATGAGAAATCCAACAACTTATCTTTAATTTCACCTAAGCTAATGTTAAGTAACAAAACTCACCCAGTGCAAGCAACCAACAAATGTGCACCAAGAAACATAATATAAATAACAATAGATGATTTATATTATAAAAAATACATACTTTTACCAGACAAATCACAGGGGTTTATCTATATAGAAAACCTGATGCTCCTCTTATATTATTCGGGTAAACTTGACATGAACAATGCTCTAAACAAACACACGTTATTAGCAAAAAGTTAACAACAAGAAGTAACTTCGGACTATAAATAAACATACCCTGCGGTCATGCTCCTCCGCGAAGTATTCTCTATTGACATCACTCTTAGGGATGGCGTCATTGGAATTGATACTGAGAGCAGTATCTCGAACCTGAACTGGCAACCCATATTCAAGATCCAGAAGACAAACTTGACAAACATTTTTCAACTTACTGCAAGTTTGACAAATCTCAGTTTTCTTATATCTTGCATCACGACCTGGCCTCCACCTGAAAACAGTGAAGGGACGTGTGCAAATCTTGCATTCCTTATCATAATCTGCTTTTGTCTGCATCAAAACTGACATAGTTAAAACAATAGAAAGAATACATTGTTACTTAAATAGAATGATTTTGAAACCAAATGACGTATTGTAAGTGTATATGTAATATGCATATATTATACCAAAAAGTTTCCCATGCTCAAGACACATGTGGAATGTACAAATTGACCTCAAAAGAGGGCATAAGTGCAACTATATAAAAATATATATAAATAAATAAACAAGCCAAAATCTTCTGTCTCATGTGAAGTGGGCTTCACAAATACAAAAGAATTATTCGGTAATGGCCTTCTTTAGGAAAGATGGGTTCAACCAACCATAAATATATGTTTTACGCAAATGCACATACAATAATAACAGAACAGGACATTGAGCAAAAATTTCAATAACACAATTGATTTGAAGTCCTTATTGAGTTATGTTTTGGTAAATTCCTACACAAAACTAGGGTCATAAGATTGAACAAAGAGCGGAACAAAAGATCTTTGATGGGAAGGAGTCCTCTATTGGAGAGCTGAAATTTTCTATTATTTGTACCCTTTTTTGTTGGGGTTGGGGGAGGGATTATTCTTCTTTAGAGGACATTGTGGACTTTTTGGGTTCTTTGAGTTCATAGATTCTTTTTGTGTATATCTCGGGACGCGTTCCCCCTTTTTAACGCTTTCTAATACATTTTACTTATCAAAAAAAAAAAAAAAAACTAGGGTGATAAGATTGAACAAAATGTATGCCTAAAACCAAAGATTATGAAGATGAAGAACAATGACAAACATGCCAACATTCTCGTCATTGTCGTCAAGCTCAATCACGTACTAAGTTAGGGTAAGATGAGACCTTAGCAAACATAGGAATCCAAATTGAATTATTGAATTAAATAGACGGAACTCCCATAAACTAAGTTTGATTATTAAAAGACTCAAAATCATGTTTAAACAGGTTTTTGAAAGTTAAAGCTCATTTATCGGTCTAAATTATAATGGATCGATCAAATATTTTTAAATAGGTTTTAATACCTAATAGAATACTTTCCAAATTCAAATCTCACTTTTTTTTGCCCTAATTTTGTGTACCTTCAACAAATTAGGATTTTTTTCCCCTCAAAATCCTAATTTGTGAATGCATAAAACCCTAATTTGTTGAGTGCATATAATGATGTCAATTTACCTTTGTACCCTTAGTCTCAAAGATTACTCTTTCACCCCTGGTTTAAGCTTGAATTCTGTTTTTGACCATAACCAAAAGGCAACTAACTTTTAAAATTGTAAAACTAAAAATAAAAACAAAATTACAAACTCTAATTTTGATTCACGAAATATGTCAACCTAAATCCTATTGACCTAACAACTTTCTCTTTCTTTTTTTTTCTTTTTTTTTTAGACCCCCCCCCCCCCGCTCCTATAGAGACTTAAACCCTCGACCTTCTTCTTTGGAATGTGAGGTGATACCACTAGATCATACAACCCTTGGTACCTAACAACTTTCTCTATACTATACTATTTGTGATTGGAGGTCCCATGACTTCTCTTTTTACGTTTGTCCATATAAAAATTTTGTGTTTCTACTTTCTACACTAATTCATTTTTATTATTTTATGTGTTCATGACCGTGATGCGTTCCATTCTACGCCATTTTATAACCAGTTCTAGTTACTAATTTTGTCTCCCACACTCATATAAATTACAAGGCATTTGAATGCTTCAGATCATTCCAATCGCATCTTATTGAATCACATATACATCTTTAGGCTGAACACTACGAATTGGCGATCGATGTATCACCCACTATCAAAGTTAATTACCTAATGAAACACCTTGAATCAGAAATGATTTTTCTTAGTTACTAAAACTTATATTCGGGTATTTCAAAATTATTTTTAGGCTCCCGTATAGATGAACGGTACATGGATTCATATCAAATGAAAAAAGAAAAAGCTAAATTTTTTGTAACATGCAAAATAAATAAATACAATTATATAAATAAGCCTCACAACACATTAACAAACATATACTCCATATAAATATGTGTGTATCCATATCTAAAGCTGTGCACTAATTTTGAACTTCTGTAATAAAAAATCAAATTTAGGGTCCAAAACAATCAAAGAACTGTAAACCCTAGACAGGAAAAAATTAAAGTTACTGAAAGAAAATCACCATTCGAACGTATGGATTATCGCCAAGACACGACTCGCATATGATTGGGAAGTCGGAGCGTTCCCAGCCATCTTTCTCAAGATCTCTCAACAACCTATGCGCCATGCCCACAAAAACAGTCTTTTTCTACCTTTTGGGAGATTTTATCCTTCACCGGAAGAGTATCTGGAAAAAGATGCAATTATTTGGGATTCTAGAACTAAGAAAACGGATGGGTTTTCGAGGGATATGTTGATCCGGCACTCTACCGGCACACCGTGGACACAGAAGAGAAGGCGGCACGCTACAGAGAGAGAAAAGAGAGAGGGGAAGATGAGGCTATGAGCTTCGATCGTGATTGGGTCTTGGCTAGTTCAACTAATTTTTTAGAAAGAGAGGCTTGTTTGGCACTAAGGATTTTGGGATTTGAAAAAGGAATAGAATTTGGACCAGGAATTGGAACTAAAATAAAATAAAATTTACATGTTCGGAAAAATTGGATTTAAAGTTGGATTGGGAATGGGATTTGAAATAAGAATAATATTATATCATTTTTGTTCCTGTTTAAAAGGATAAAATGTAAAAATCTACTTGAAATATTGAGAAACTTGCAACTAACCCCTAAACTTCCAAAATTTCAAAAAACTTCCAGAAATATACAAATTTATTGCAGATTACCCATCTGTCCAAGTTCCGGTGAGTTTTGATCGTTAACATTAATTGTTTCATTTTAAATGACCATAGTGCCCTCATCACATTATCCCAAAACTCATCGCATATATATATTTTTCTTTTCTCCCATCACCACCGGTATACACGTATGTGTGTAGAGATATATATATATATATATACCTACATTACAATAGCAGAATTTTTGGTCGCCGGACATGCGATGATGCCTGCCTGAAATTGTTCTCGCAACCAGGATTCCTTGGAGACGTATCGTCGCCGCCAACGGTGATTGTAGCAAAATAGTTGAAGATGAGTACAACCAATACACAACCTGTAGTGAAGCCAGTGAAGATTTGTTTGTGCATCTCCATTGAATCCGGCAAGCATTTGTCAACGATTGTGGTGTTGTTGGGTTTCAATTGGGTTATGCAGACAAGCCGAACCGGTGATGGTGGTGGTGTTGGGTTCGATTTGGGCTCTGCAAGGTGTCCGCGATGATGATGATGGTGATGGTGGTGGCGGAGTGGGTTTGCGGTTCAATTGGGTTTCATAATTTGGTTCAACGTCAATTATTTGTGCATCTCCATTGAATCCGGCGAGCATTTGTCGACGCTGAGTTTGGTTGCGCAACTGATGGTGGTGTTGTTGGGTTTTAATTAGGTTCTGCAGACAAGCCGAATCGGTGATGGTGGTGGCGTTGCGTTCAATTAGGGCTTTGCAAGGTGTCCGCGATGATGGTGATGGTTTGATTTGGTGGTGATGGTGGCGGCGGAGTGGGTTTGTGGTTCAATTGGGTTTAACAATTTGGTTCAACATCAATTCTCTGAGTTTCTATTGCTTTGGGTCTGGTTGTGGGGTGGGTTTGGGTGGCAAAAGCGTACAACGTGAGGGGCAGTGATGGTTATTGTGGTGGAAGTAGGGGATGCGGTGGTGATTAAACACCCGGACCGGTAACAAAGAAGATGTACAGTGTGATTTCCCCAATCCACTAAAAACTACGTTGATTTTCAAAAAAAAAATCTAAAAAAAACTGGTGAATTTTTTTAGTAAGGACAGAATCGTCTTTTTCTTTTTTCGGCGACCTGACGAGGCAAATTGGTTTCTTGTAGTTTTTATTTATGCAAAACTCCAATAATTCAGCAATTTTGTTTTGCAATTTACCCTTTATTTAAATGATAAATGAAATATTTAGTTTAGGGAGGCACTCCGGTTACCTACGCTATTCTTTCCTTATTTTTTATAAATAAATAATAATTTTTTTAAAATACCACCATTACCCTTTCAATTATAAAAAGATATTGATTTATCAAAAAATAATAATAATAATAATAATTTATGGTTTGCCTCTCTAGCTCCTAATTGACGTTTTGTATCCCCTATCTCTTTACTTAGGGTGTGTTTGGATAAATAGGGAAAAAAGAAAAAAAAATGATACTATTAGTTAGGAAAGGAAAAAAAAAAGAAAAGAAATAATAGTAATAATTTCTATTCATGTTTGGATAGATAGGGAAGAAAAGAAAAGAAAAGAAATGATAGTTATTCTTATTTGAATAAGATAAATGAGAAAAAAGAAAAGAAATGATAATGACCAAATTACTGTCTTACCCTTACATAATCACTTCATACATTATTCATTTCCAAAATCTTGTTTCTTTTTTATAATTCAATGTCACGAGTAAAAATAAAAGTAAAAAATAAAAATAAAAAAGAAAAAGTACGATAAGGTTAAGATGAACCATTCAACATGGTTGAAGGTAAGAGCAGTTTTTAACCTTTTTTATGAGCATGTGAAATTTTTTTTTTTTTGGTTGTATCTTGTTATACCTATCCGACTCAATCTCTTTCCATCCTAAAATTTTTAATAACTTTTAGCATTATCATACATCTTTGCATTCCACTAAACATATTGGGACATAAATGGAATTACTTTTCTGTATGTTGATTTGTAGAGGGCATTGTTGGTATTAATAATTTATAACTTACTCCACTATCCTTTTTCTCCCTATTTTCTCAAATTGGAAGAGAAAGCATATAAGGGAAAAGGAGGGATAACTATCCCTCCATATCCTCTCTTTTCTCTCCACTTAACCCGCCCAAATATACTCTCACACTATCCTCTCTTTTCTTTTCTCTCCATGTCCCTCCAATTCAACCTTACCAAACACACCCTTATGGTTTTGTATTTATCTTTTAAAGTAACATACAAGATCTCGAAGATGAAGATATGGTGGAGTTGAACAAAGTAATTGATCTTATTAGCACGGAAAGTACGGAAGAACTATCAAACCTTCATGAACCATTCAACTCCATGGATGCCAATGGTGATGGTAATTTTTTTCTTTGAGTTTAATTTATTTATTTTTCTTTCGATTTAAGTGATTTTGAAGAACTAATTTGGACTGTCTTTACATCTTAAACTTTACCTTGTTGAGAAAAGCCCTAATTGTTTTAACAATAAAATTTCTATGAACAAGAATTTTGTGAAAGAAAAAAAAAGAAAGACAGAGAGATGTTTATTACATATAATTTTTATACTTTTTGACTTGTTCTAATGTTTAAGCATTTGTAATTCTAATCAAAATTTTTTTTTTTTTTAATTTTTTTTATTTTATATATATATATATATATATATATATATATATATTGTGTTTTAACAATAAACTAAACCACTCCCTAAATTCACTTGCCACAGCCTTCTTGTACTAGTGGGAATGATTAGAGATAAGAAAAGTAGTGCTACTGTATTCAATTCTTATTTTCCTCCCTGTTCGTAGGCAGTACGTGGGGTTAAGGGGGAGTATAGTATTTTTTTTTTTTCTTTTTTTAATTAAAAAAATATGAATTTGGTAATGTTTTTTCATTCCATTGGATTGCTCTGTTTTCAGTTGTTTTAGAAACAAATCCGTTCTCGCATGATCAACAATTTTTATCACATGCTTACATACTCAACTAAGTGGCCATGTCATGCATTAATCAGTTCTGATGCTAATAATCTTTACTTTTGATAAGATACTTGTCATCATGTGTTCTTTTGTGAGGGTACTTTTGACATATAATACCGACTGTATCCACTTACTAATTGCTACCCACTAACTACCCTTGCTCAAACATTGGTTTCGATCTTGTTCATGAGACTGTGCTTTGCTTTGAATGATTTACTTGTGATATGTAGTTGGGCATTAATTATACAAGATAATGCACTTAATAGTGATTTCAAGCAAAGAGTTAAGATTTATATGGTAATTTTTGTGTTATAGTATTATATTAAAACAACGTGAGTCTTACTATATGTCAGAAAATATTTGATATAAAATATTGAAGTTTATTTATGATATATTTGATGGCCTTTATGATACGCAAATTTTACCGATGAGAAAAAGAAAGAAGAAATGGGCACCAAAAATCAAGTAATCACACTTGGGTCTAACAAGTTGCCCTTGCTCAAACATTGGTTTCGATCTTGTTCATGAGACTGTGCTTTGCTTTGAATGATTTACTTGTAATATGTAGTTGGACATTAATTATACAAGATAGTGTAGTTAATAGTGGTTTCAAACAAAGAGTTAAGATTCATATGGTAATTTTTGTATTATAATATTATATTCTCCTAAAACAACGTGATTCTTACTATATGTTAGAAAATATTCGGTACAAAATATTGAAGTTTATTTATGATATATTTGATGGCCTTTATGATATGCAAATTTTACAGATGAGAAAAAGAAAGAAGAAATGGGCACCAAAAATCAAGTAATCACACTTGGGTCTAACAAGTTGCTTTCTCTATCTAAGAAAAAGTTTTCAAATCGGGAAGAGCTTATTGGTAGTATTCGTAACATAACAATATCTCAAGGATTTGCCACTAATATTAAAAGGTCCATAAGAGATCGTTATGTGATCATTATTTGCGATGGAGGAGGTCAATACCGTAATTCCAACATTTCAATGGAACAAAGGAAAAGGATAACGGCATCTCGTTTGATAAATTGTCCATTTGAAATTTGGGGTAAAAGAAAAGATGGATTTTGGAAGGTGGAATCAAAAAATATGTCGCATAATCATCAACTTTCATTCAATATGTCTGGACATCCTTCTTGCCGTCAATTTTCAAAAGAAGAGATTATGCAAATTAAGAAAGTGACAAAGGAAGGAATACCACCGTGACAAATACTTTCATCTCTTCGATAAAGTAATTCAAATCTTCAAGCAATATCTAGGAACTTATACAATACAAAGGCTAAAATCATGAAAGAGAGTTTGGCAGGTCGTACAATGATTCAAGCATTGTTTGAAGAATTGGGTCAAGGTGGTTTTACTTTTGATGTTAAGTGTGACAAGGATAATCGTTTGGCTTATTTGTTTTTTGCACACCCTTCTTCAATTGCATTAACAAAGAATTAACCGTATGTTTTTATGATGGATTATACTTATAAGACAAATAGATATAAGATGTCGTTGCTTGATATTATTGGAGTGTCAAGTTCCAACAATTTATTTTATTCTTGTTTTGCTTTTCTGCAAAATGAAGAAGAAGATGACTATGTTTGGGCTTTGGAAAAGTTCAAGAAAATTCTTGGTGATGATAGGCATCCTTCAGTGATTGTATCTGATAGAGAGTTAGCACTAATGAAAGGTATTCAAGCTATCTTTCCTGGAGCTGCACGTCTTTTATGTGTATGGCACATTGAGAAGAATATTCTTTCAAATTGTAAGCGTTATTTTGAAGAGAAAGGTGATTGGGATATATTTCTATCTATTTTGACAAATTTGATAAACTCTCTTGATGAATCAACATTTGATGAAGCTTGGAATCATTTTGAAATTCAATATAAAGAACAAAGAT